TGATTAGATAAAATAATTAACCTCACTAATTATCGATATAGACCTATTTATACAATGAATTTATTTAATTTGTTATTGAAATGTGAGGCTACCTTCATACTGTTGACGTACTTGTACAAGTACTTTGACGATTTAAACAGTGCATAGAAAAAAATTTGTAATTTAACTCCGACTGTCAGAATTGCTTGTCTTGTCGTGGTTTTGGAGTGTTTAGGCGGTCGCCGGTCGTGCAGCATCATTGGTTGTTGACTCTAACAGTGTTAAAATATGTAAAAAAAATAATTTTTGGGTAGTATCGTGATGCAGTCACATCGATTTTTTTTTTTTTTTGTGACTGATTTGTCACTGTTTGCCTTGAAGAGGCATTTACAGATTAACCGGGCTCGAGGTGGCCCAGCGCAGATGGCGCTTAGCCTAAACCTCTTTTATGAGTAACTAGGCTCGAGGGCTCCCTCAGGAGCCTCGGCTCGGGCCGTTACTTCGTTATTATTACCGGATTGGGAGGCCACCGAGCTCTTAGATCGCTTCGGTGGTCGCTCCATGGAGTGACTAAGCACAAGGGTCCCCGAGAGGGGACCTCGGCTTGGGCTGTCACTCAATACGCGTTTAGCATTCCGATTCAAGGGCGCCCGAGAGGGCCGAACCTCGACTTGATCGGTTGCTGCTATCTGATCATTATTATAATTATTAATACATCTAACATTACTACCACTTCGGAAAGCGTTAGCGCTGGGAGAAGAAGTGGCGGAAGAAGAAGACTCCAGCAACGCTTCTATCATTGATAGGAGAGAACCTGCCTGCTATGAGGCCGTATCGCGGGAATGATTGCCGTAGTCGGCAGCGACTACGGCGTTTTGTCTGTCGTAGTTGTTTAATCCTAGCCTGAGCGATTCGAATCACATCGAGTCGAATCGCTTTTGTTTGACAATTAGTCGAGGGGCACGTTAGTCAAATTGACCTTCGATTAGCTATATCTTTAGTGGAATCGATAAAATTCCATACATTTTTGACTTTTCGATCAACGATAACCATGAATGTTACTTTGACTAAAGAACGGAATGAAGAGTAATTCCAATCTTTGCGAGTAGCATAAGTATATCATATTTTTGCATGTTTTCAACCCTATACGGCGCAGTTTAGTTTCAGATATACCTCGGTGTATTTGAACAATAAATTCTCGCTTGACATTTCGTGACTGACGGATTAGAACATCTATAACTCAATGATAACGCTGGTACAAAGTTGTGCCGCCGCGATAACAGCCGTTTGGGATACTAAAAAACTATTTTGGCTTTAAATTTGGCATTATCAAGTTATCAAAAATTAATATAAAGGATATATGTACCTTTTAATGTAACTTTAACCTCGTTTGCTACAGAAATGTATGTACTCGTAGATGTAATAAAATATATATCTAGTTATATTATAATAAAGCGTAAACACACACTTCTTTGTTGCCTAAGATGTCAGCAATTACAGCATATTTTTGAACAATCCTTTTTTTAATAAAAAGCCCTACACTTACTTCATACTTAAGGCTATAAATTTTCACGCCATTAAACTTACGGAGTAAATATTTTGGATAAAAATCATATAGTGGAAAAGAGATCATTAGTTGCCGCCAACATCAAGAAAAGAAGATTGCCAAGGTTTGTCAAGTCATGTCCTTTTTACATTTGCTATTGATAATTTGACAAATGTAAACAATAAAATAAAATTTTCGTAATTCCATGCGGGTGAAGCCGCACGGGAACAGCCAGTCTATACTAATATTATAAAGAGGAAACATTTGATTTTTTTTATTGAAACAACTCAAAACTACTGGGCCGATTTAAAAAAAAAGTCGCGAGCAACAGCTAGTAGCTCATTAACGAAATGTAGTTCATAAATAGGTATTAGTTAAAAATCAAGACTTCGGAAACAAAGCCTACATTTAAAAGACTTTAAAGTAAACGTAGTTATACAAATCTTGGAACTCAAACATAATAAGAATTTACAACATTGCTTTGGAATAAACTCAATTTGGAGTGTAAAGAACTAGTTTGTATGTCAATTGTCAATGTATTAAATGATCGCATTCGAAGAAGTCGTTTGTCAGATGTGGCTTTCAATTAGTTGACCCACGCCCAGGTCAAGTGACACGTGTCTAGACTACTATGACCTCGGAGACATGTGTCAAAATGCAATGTAACGGGGAAACTTTGAATTGAGACATTTTAAGTTATGCCTGTTTTGAGTTTTTTTATCTACATAATTATAGTTTGTTTAAAAAAAGTCATTGCATAAGAATATCATTATGTTTATTTATCTAACTAAACAGAAACTTGTAATAATGTAACTGCATTTATCCAATTTTTATTCTAATTTACTTAAAGTCAGTTTAAGGGTATACGTATAGACTATACGCAAGTCACAAGCAATAACTAAAAGCTATTTTTTTCGATCATTGCAACTAAAACTTTAAAAAAACTACAAATACAACTGTATGCCAGCTCTAAAAGTTTTTTTTTAATATCTTCATAAAGCAATCCATCAAATCGACGCAGAAAGCAGGTGTAAACAAATGAAAATAACGTAGTAAACACAAGGGTATTGAAATAATGTATTAGCTTGTTTAAATTATGTAGAGTGGACGTCAGCTGATTGAAACTTTGGTTTAATAAGCTAGATTAAAAGGTACAGGTAACAGTGGTAGAGCCCACTTTAACATGTTAGCACGAATGGGCCGGCTCGCCCGGTGCAATACTAGGACCACACAGAAAACAGGCGTGAAGTGGATGCAATTCCGCGTCTCGTCTGATGAGTGCGGTGCCGGAGGCCTAATTTTAATCCCTTTTCCTTTCCACCCTTTTCTTAAGAGAACAGGATCGAAAGGAAAAGTGGATTTGACTGTGATGGAGACGCATAGGAAGGTGAAATGTCCTCTTTATGTGCGTCTCCTCCTCCGTCAATTAAGGGTAGGCAACGCATCTGCCATTGCGGATGTTTATGGGCAGCGGTCGCTTTCCATTTCGGTGGATTCAGGTGGCCGCTTGCTCGTTTGCCACCTTATATTATAGTATGGAAATAATTAAGGAAAAATCCTGTTGGTAGAAAAAATAAACAATTTGCTTCGTTGCTACGGATGTGGAATCCCCTATATCCGGTTTAGACATTTTATTTTAATTCCACTGACAGTTGCAACTATTCACAAGCTATTAAAAAAGTTATTTCTATTCGTGGCACAGTATGTTTCGTTTTTAAAACAACTTCAGCAATGGATATCAGCCAGTCGTTTATTAAAAGTGCCTATTTAAGAAAGTGACAGCGACATCTATCTACGGGTGGCAAATTACTCAATTGTAACGAACTCTCCTAACATCCTATTGTGTATTTACAAATAACTGCTTATATTTGATGATATTGCTTTTATACTTGATAAGATCAAAAATATAACGACTATTTAATATTTGGCTTCTATTTTTTGTTAATATAACGTGTATCCTAACGACCGTTTCCAATAACCAATCTATCTTTAGTTTTACCTACTAGCTATACCTATCTATCGACAGAAGGGACGTTACCTACCTTCATTTGTTTATGTATATACTAGCTTTCACCCGCGACTCCGTCCGCGTGGAATAAAAAAAAACAAAAGTGAGTTGCCCATGTGTTCTTCCAGACTATCCTCTACGTCTATGCCAATCATCGAGATCCGTTCAACCGTTTAGGCTACAAACTCTAACAAACATCCATTCATCTTAACTTTCGCATTTATAATATTAAAAAAGATAAGTAAGACTTAAATATAGTAAGAGCGGACGCCCTTTGACTAAACTATTGAAACTGAACTACGCACAATTGCTGTGCGATTGTCGATTGTGTCGCAATCCATTCTACTGTTTAGATGCACAACTAAAAATCGAATACTGTCTTCACCTCCATATAAGCTCATACGAATCAAAGACAGCGACTAAACAGTTGTGCGATAGTTTAGTCAAAGGCGTGCGCGCTGTAACTATACAATCGTTATATCTTTAAAATTTTTCACCATGTAAACTTTCAACATCGTTACATTAACAAAAGCAGCGAAAGAAACATAAACAATTTTGAACAGGAATGATAACGTCCGATAGAATCCTGGTCATTGGCTAGTTTGGCATAAAAAAAATTTATATACTACAATACGAGATGAAGTGATGGATACCTTACGATGGCGAAATGCCAAATGCCAAATGTTTGCAGACTTCTGTTATTCACTCGCGACTATAAAACTAACTTTGTACAAAGATATTTGTTAAACTATTCAAATTGCATCTTAAAATGTACATTTGAATAAAAATACGTCGGAACAAGTATGGAGTTCAAATGGCATTCCAAATTGTAAACGAATGTAATACCAGTGTGACACGTTAGAGTTCGTATAAGGCTGGTTTTATCATTACCGGCACCTTAGCTGATTGCGATGCTCCTTAACTGCAATTCAAACCCATACAAAAAAGGAATAAAAGTGCGCCTTATGTCTCCTGTGGCGCCCCTTTATCCAGGCGCCCTGGCCGGTCACCCCACTTCACCTTTACACCGCTACTGTTCAGGTGATTAAAATGTAACATCTAGATTCTAGATTATATCATAATCTTTTTTATCATTACAATAAATGATTGAATTACAAGTCAATAAAAATCATCATCATTATTGTTCGGAAGTTATCTTAAGAATAACCTCTAGATTTAAATATAAAACTTTAGATTTTAAATAACTTAAATTAAGTGAGTTTTTTTATCACATTTCTCATTTTCTATTAATAAAGAGAACAACATGCATTAAATTATTCTTAAATCAAACTTAACTTGTTTAACATCTCGTTCTTCTTGTCGCTCATTTTAGGTGAAATAAATTAATTTTTAAACCAACCATATTTTTTTTTTAAATACGATGAAATCTTAAAAAATCGTCATTAATACAGCACAGCCACAAAGTTTTATTACCGCTTGGGATAAAAAAAAAAAAAAACTACTTACCTAATAAAACGATAGATGTCACTAATACACGTTCACTCCAATTACAAAACATTTTTACATTTAATTCTCACTTCTCTATTATTTAAATAACACTTCATAATCTCAATTATTTAAATTATTATTTCAATTTACGAATCATCTTAGCGTCACATTTCTTACTTTATAAATATTCACGAATTGAATTTAATATTATTCAAAGAATAAATATACAATTTAAATTCTAAACATATAATAAATATTTAATAAACACATTAAGGTTGTTATATTGTATATTTAACGATCTCGATAACACAGATAATGTCAGACACGTCCGTACCTATCGACGTTGAATTGTAAACTGAACGCTGAAAATGTTTATACAACGTAGAATTCTTTCAGACGGTGCGACAATTTCTATTGCTATTTCCATACGTAATTAATCAGTACTTAACATTGTTACGATTGGTTTTGCTTGTATATATCAATTAGTTTAATGGGATTGACCAAATATAAACAACGATAAACTAGAATACGGCTATATAATTTAAATAATCTTTTTTTTTTTAAATTAATAATCTGTTATAATAATTATCTTTTTCAAAGCTAGCAAAGGAATGCGTGATAAATCGAAAACTTTTTTCTCTATTCACATACTGACTAGTTTGTTTATTTTACACTTACGCAGTAATTTAGGTTAGGCCTGAACATTAGGAAGGGTGGTAAAAAGAAGCATTTTTCTACTTAAATAATAATTATAATGCACGCAAACAACTGCTAAGTTACGTTAAATTTTAATGCAAGGAAATTTTATTCCAAATAGTCTGTTCATGGGTTTAGAGTGGTTTTATTATTTTAAAAAATACATCTTGGAATGTCTCCAAGTGTACGTTTATCTCTATTGTGGAATATTTGACCGAATTTTGCGGCCAACGAAAATACATCGGAACTTGTTGGTTCACTAGTTTTTAAAACAGCATTTATTAAATCTGCAAATTTTTGCGTGATACTAAAACAGAAACATCCTGTATGTTTAGAAATAGCGCAAAATATGCTATTAAAATTATACATTGAGATCCCAGACCAGGATGACGACACCTAAATTCTAAAACTTTACTGTTATATGAATATATAGTATTACTCTTTTGTGATGTAACTGAATGGCCATTAGTTATCCTGTACAATAGGGCAGTTACGGGCTATCACGCTCGGAATCGTTATCCTGGTCTGGGATCTCAATCTATTATACAACGTTCGTAGGAAAGTATCAGGAGAGCATGAAATATCAGGGGTAAAATTATTAGTTCTACAAGGTTGTTTCGACTCATACTACTTTTTCTAAAATACTTCCAAAAACAGCATTACTCACTTTTGATCACTCATGATTTAAAAATATTGTGCAAATTGTATTTTTCTCAAAAATCTTAACCCTTATCTAATTACCTCTGTTTTATTCCATCCGTCATTTATTGACGCAATTAATTCTATTTTTGTTCGACAAAATCAAATGATAATCGACTTATCCATATTTTTTTATAGATGTTTGTCGAATTCCATCGTAAAATATTGGTAATAATTCAAATGTGTTCAATTTATAACGAGATTAAATTGATAAATGGATTAATAGCTCTTTATTACTTATAATAAAGAAAAGATAGAGCTATAACTGACGAGAACGGCCACCACGTGGTCGATGAGTGATATGTCATCAATACAAAATGTATATCTTAACACGTTCCCTGCGTAACAGGTCGATATCGGCCTGACGCGGTACTAAAGCTAGTGCGGACGAAGAAAACTATATCCCTTTCGCTAGTGCGAAACGATTATTTCATGTGTATACATAAAATGTATTGTTTCCACAATCATTGTAGAAATTTTATCTAACTTAGTGTTGGTGGGTCTTGAAAGACCTGCCACGGACTGGCGGAACATTGGAGGCGCATTCCGGCCCGCCGCCTCACAAAATGAAGAATTATTATTTTACTTTCGTAGTAAAAGTGTTAATCCAATAATACGCAATAAATAATAATTAAATATGAAATTAAAAGGTGCCTTGGGCGAGGTAGAAATTGTACATAACTTCTTTAGCTTTTCGTACAAGTACGTCCTAGAGTCCTAGTCAACCACGCTTCGAGTTAGCGTAATATTTTTGAATTTCTTTGATGATATGCAAGTTGCATCACGATGTTTTCCTTTACCGTAAAAGAATCTACACACCTACTGTTTATAAACGTTTGGATTGTTCTATTATAACTGTATGTGTTAATAATTCCATTTATAATTTGAATCCCTTTACTCCAAGTTTCGGTTATTAACAGACCAATTACTAATTTATTACGATGAGCTATAATAAAAATGAAGCCGAAAAAATTCCATAACTAATCCTTGACAAAGTTTTATATGAAAAAAACAAGCATTATCTAAATCTTTCATATTTGTTGTAAGGTTATTGTACTTTTACAAACACAACTTGATGGATGTTATAAACAATTAGTCGATTGAAATTATCGATCGAAAACGATACCTACACAAACTATTGAAAGGGTTAGGGAAGAACAATTAGGAAACTTTGATAGTACTTATCTACATGACCTAATTATATATCTTTTATTTTATAACGTTAGGTGGCAAGCGTGCAAACCATCTGAATCCGCCAAAATAGCGTAGTGACCGCTGCCCATAGACATCCGTGAGTGCAGATGCGTTGCTTACTCTTATCCGACGGAGGAGGAGACGCACATAAAGAGGATATTTCCCCTTCCTATGCATCTCCTCCACCGTCAAATCCACTTCCCTTTCGCATCCCCTCCTTATAAGAAAAGGGTGGTAAAGAGAAAGGGACTTAAATTAGGCTCCGACACCACACTCATCAGACGAAACACGGAATTGCTTCCATTTCACGCCTGTCTTCTGTGTGGTCGTCGTATTACACCGGGTGTGCCGGCCCTGCAGTGCTAAGATGTTAAAGCAGGCACTACCACTATTTAGAAATATCACGTAGAAAACGTTTTCCCGCCTCGCATTCATGTTGTGGAAAACTCTGTTTTAAACAGAATTTCCTAACAGTTACGACATATGGGTCTTTAAAAAAAGAACCTCCATTAAAAGCTGGTAACGCATCCGAGATTCCTCTAAAGAATTTTCTGTCTTTGGGCATCGGATCAATAGCTTAGAAGATTCACTCTTTGACCCCTTAAAAAGTACAAGAAGTAAATTAATTAACTTAATTGATTAAATTTATTTTTAAAAATGCATTTTACATTAAGTGGGCGTCCACAAATGTCCGTGTAATCGTACACTGCGTCCATTGTTTACTCCCGTTCCGTAATCGAGAATCGATGCTGATGACTGCCAGCAATGAATACACACCGGTTAATTGCCTTCGTGACGTCACGTGTCTAAATAAAAAGCAAACATTGTTACACCTCTCACCTACTTATGCCCATATTATACGAACATGACATATACAAATCTACATGTCGCCTAGTTTGGGGGTAGTTCAGCTGCCCATCAAACTCAATATAAAAATACTACGAATAACTACTACTAATACTAGTACTAATTGTAACTGGCCCCCTAAAACTAACTTAGGTCTTAGGCCTGCTTTTTTCTCGTGTCCACTCTTTATCCCTTTTCACTATTAACGGACTCAAAAGGGAAGAAGTCCTCAATTTGTTATTCTCGCGATATTTTATTTACATTTTATTCCCTAGTTAGTGGGGGGGGGGCAACGGCCTCCCTAACCCACCCTCCTAGCGTCGCCCATAGATCTTGTCCGTTTCTTACGCATTTCTAAGTCATATACTATCTCTCTGTCTCTACTCATAGTTCATAAACACGTATTAGATCGCTATTTCAAGATGTTTTCAAGGTTTCGAAGTAAATTTTAAAAACGTATATAAAATGGATATAAGCACGTAATGGTCTACGAGTGGTCGTCGCTGTGGGCGGCTAAGACGCTGTCACGTCGCAACTAGCGAGACGTGCTAACACTTTTGTTTGTAGACCTTCGGTACTCCACCAAGGGCTGACACATTGAAAAAAGTACTTTAAGTTGATCTGGTTTAATAACCAGTTGTTAATACAACTTATTATTTGTAACGATGTTTTTGAATACCGAAATTCTTGAATTAGGCGGCAAAGTTTTTTTGTGCAGTTTTTGTTTTAATTTTTTTTGTCATATTATAATAGTGTATTTATAAATACACTTTTTTTACAATAAAAAAGAGGCAAACGAGCAGCAGGAATACTTTGGTGATCAAACTTAATAATACAGTATAATACGTGAAGTCATTTATTTAGTTTAAAAAAATATCACAGACCCTGACCTTAGATTGACCATACCTCTTCTTAGTAAATTGTTAGTTCATTTTACATACAAATTGACAACCCTAGCCAGACTTAGTTAAGTAGTATCCGTCCAAATTTATTTGCGCAGTAAACTAATATATTCTAGTATTTACGGTATACTTTACACGAGTTGGGAGGGAATATACAATATTTGTGGTAAATTGATTAGTACTAAAGTAAACAGTTGTATATTATCTATGTTGCTATATTTATGTGCAATTATTTTTTTATGGATGTCACCATTTCAATTTAATCTATGGGTAAAAAAAAAATTGTTATTCTCTTTGTCATCGGCTAGCCCCCTACGTAGTTCAAGGTAAAGAAACTTGTCTGTAAAAATAGGCGTTAGTGTTTTGTCTAGGATTTTTTTAAAAAGAAAAAAGTTGAAATGTTTTTTTTTTATAATATAATTCAGCTTTGCTTTGTTTTTAAGAGTTTTTTATGTTTTCGTAACCTAAAATGTATATGAATTAAGTCGATTCCGTAACAATTGTATTTTAATGGACATAAAAACAATGACGCGACATTTACGATCTATAAAAAGTTTTATTGGCTACAAATTAAAACAAATTCTGATTTAATTATTTATCTCTCATTGAAATAAAACGAACACGTTTTTGCATAGTAAACACGCCATGACCCTTGGGCTAGTTTGATAAATTTTTAGGTTAGATGTCACAGGTTTACTAAATTAAAAGTATGGCCACACCTACTGCTATAAAATTGTTTATCTTCATAATATAAATAATCAAATATAATGTAAATTCTACGGAGACGCATGTCTCACATTTTCACATTTCTATTGGGTAAACACAATAACACTTGGGATAGGAGTCTCTCTGAGTGATGTGGCCTCAGACATTCTTTTCTATATTTACGACTTTTATAAGGGTATGGTCCCATTAGCAGCGGGCTTGATACAATAAGAACTGAGTATAAATACGAAACTGAATTTTTTGGTAAAGGCATTTGTGCGCCTATCACTACTTTACAATCTTCAATGAAAAATACTGTGTATTGAAGCTTTTTCAAAGTAAAATAAATAAGAATTGCTCCTTTCGCAATTTTGCTGGTCGTGATTTTATCGCTCTTAAGATTCCGCTAAAACTCGCTACCCAAATACAATGCAAAGCACGTTTATAGCTAGTTATAAATTATGTATTTTATTAAATAGACAAAAAGCTTCTACCTTTTATTGGTATTTCTAAATTAATTTTTACCACTCTAGGCAAAAATAGAGCAAAAACTCCGTTAGATTATTTTTTTATTTCTTTACGACATGAAATTTTACACGTCTTGATTTGGCATAAAAAAAAAACTGATTTGAGATTATAGAATTGGCAGTAGCGTAAATCAGCGTAATATCAGGATTTTACCCAACCGTCACCCCGCTTTGTCCCCACGTAGGGTCAGATAACAATAAAAAGTTTCATTCGTCTCACCTTTTGAGGTGAGAGGACGGTTGGAACTTATTTTACAACGGTTCTATCTGTCACCTTATTGACGATAGTGGGACTATAAGGTGGGAAGGATGAAACTTTTTATTCTCAAGTGGGGACATAGCGGGGTGACGGTTGGGAATAATTCTAATATCAATGACTATACCCAATAATATGGAAAGCTATGTATCTTTCACCTTCTGTCATGTTTGTACCTATAAATTGTTAGAAGTGTGTCTCAATAATCGCGTGAAAAATCCCATTAACCTAAATCGGAAGCCATTTGAATAATGCCAGTCCATCCTAATTTAAAGCTCTGTTTACGATAATAGAGTGATTAAAGCCGCCTTTAATCATTTTATGGCCATTGTTATGGCCGTACCATATCCAGACGATTTTTTTTTGTTTTAGCTGGCATTTTAGAAATTCTTTTCAAACAAAAGGAAAAACACAGTTTATTATGGTAAACAGGCATAAATTAATAGAAAAAAAGTAATAAAACCTATGTCGATATTGCAGTAAATGAAAAAAAAAAACAACAGGATTCATAAGTAAGTTAGTTTTGTTGGGATTGTAAAGTTTAAAGTTAATTGCATAAAAAATTACATGTTTTTTTAGGTTGAAAATGTATACTAGGAATGATAGTGCTGAATATGTGCAAAAATAGTTTTCTGTCCCCATCACATATTTAGTCTAAAAGTTTAAAGTCACGCCATCTATGTTTGAACTAATGCCCTAAGAAAATATTTTATGGTAAAAAAACGAATGTCAACCTACACTTTTACATTTATTTTCACTTTCTATAACTAATTAATTTAATGAAAAGTGAATATAAAGGGTAGTTAGTATACATTAATGTTTTATGATTTGGGAATAGTGTAAGGGCCTGCTTTGTTTCTGGTTAACCAAGAAACATGTGAAATATTAAGTATTTAGTACTGCTATGTTTTCACTCAAATAGTGATGATGTTTTGAATTTGGGGAATATCAAAAAATAATTTTTGATTTTTTAGTAGAAAACAGGATTTTTTTATGGAAAGCACTCTACGAACAATTGTCATAATAGGTTCTATATTGTCTATGCCTTGCTCTATTATTTTGCGCCTGCGCACTTGACTGATGGTTTACGCTACGTACCTAAAATCATTTTGTGGAAAATTTGAAGTTTGTTGTTTTAGTGACAACTTATTCATAATTATTTATGAAAGCTTTGTGCTAATTACCATTCCAGGCGCGAGGCAGAATTATTCTGTAACAGTCGGCCTGGATGCGTATAGTCAGTAAGAGTTCGAGCGGTTGTACGGTAGCCATCTTGGATTCGAACAAAGCTTCAGATGTGTAGTTTGTCTGTTTATCAATAATTTTTGTGCATTTTATTGTAAATAGTTTGTATGTTTAGGATATGTACGGAACGTTCGTCCATATGTGTAAATAGCTATGGCTGCGTCAAGGAAATTACAAGGTAATTTGCCATGTTATCAGGTTAGAGATTGACCCCAACCTATGTAGATACGTGTTCTAGACTTCTATTGTCCGTTCAGTGAGACCTCTGCCATACTGCAGATATTGAAAATGAGAAGTATGTTGCGGGTGTGATTTAGGATTTTATATTTTTATACAACAATATACACTGTCAAACGTCGACGCCGCGATGCTACGTCGATCGTAAATGAAGATCACATTTGACGCACACAATTACGATACTGAGTTGATATCCAATATAAGTGATACCTGAACGCCACAGATGGGTGCTCATTCCGATTCATTTAGTGCTTGTAACGCGTTCGGTCGTTAATAACATTGTCAAAACAGGTTTTATGTTATTCATGTGCAAATGTTTGTTGCAGGTGAAATAGACAGGTGTTTAAAAAAGGTCACAGAAGGGGTTGAGACATTTGAAGACATCTGGAAGAAAGTGCACAATGCGACAAATAGCAATCAGAAGGAAAAATATGAGGCCGATCTCAAGAAGGAGATTAAAAAACTCCAGAGGCTACGGGATCAGATCAAGTCATGGATCGCCTCCGGGGAGATTAAGGATAAGAGTACACTTTTAGACAATAGGAAACTAATAGAAACGGTGAGTGTTAACAAATCTTCAATAACTATAGGCTTTTTATTTATCTGTTATGACATAAATAACCTCAAAAAACTTCATTTGAATTCTTATGGGATATATTTAAATGACATGTCTATTTTGAGGTTATCAGAATTATATATATTCAACTGTACATAGAATGTTAACATGTTATTTGTTGAAATATGTAAATTTAAGTGGATTTCTCATTGCAATTGGATTAAATCAATATAGTTAACTATTATATACACTCGAAAGTTCAAGTTTCCTACTTGTTGATCTCACAATTGCCCTATTGTGTACCAATTATCATACTTTTCTCACAAAAACTAATGATTGCTCTAATTATTTTCATAATCAATAGCATTGTTTACCAGCAAATACATAAAAGGAAAACAAACACTATATACAACTTTATTAAGTATTTTATAATTTTGATGTGCAGAAAAATATAGTACTAAGATACAAATGTATACTACTAGCCAATGACCACAATTAAATCCATGTGTAATTAAAAAATATACATTTGTAGCCTATGTGTTCGAAATTATGTTCTACATCTGGGCTATTGACCATGATGGGTTGATCTGATCTTACCTTTTTATTCTTAATAGTATTGAGTTCCAAAGGCTTTGTAAAATGTAACAATAAAATTTAAATGTAGTTTTTAAGTGTCAAAGCATTCACATATAAAAACTACAGGTTTTTGAGAGATGAACATAAGTATTGTATGAATGTTGGGCAAAGAAGACATCAATTGTTGAAAATACTAATGATTTAGATGTATCCTAAAAACTCTGTAAAATATAACTTTTAAGTATGTAATTGTTACTCGGAATAATAGTCACAAATCTAAACAACCATCAATAAATTAAAATAGTTTTCTAAAATTAATCAAGTAAATAAAATAAAATAAAATTCAATCCTTATAAAATAACCAAAAATTGCTAGTAAAATGTAATGATAATTAAACGTAAATGTATGAATCCTTTTAATATCCTATTGGATTATTTAATATTTCTTCTGAATTCTTATAAGATTTTTAAAATGTTTCCTTCAAAGTCTTAACTTTATTACTTGTCTTAACTTATAAAAAGTAATTGAGAAGATGCCAAGGTCTTTGTAAGTGTTATTTACTTTTAAAAAGATTGTTTTCTTGTTTTACATTACTTGAACTAGTTTTGTTGATCAGTTCTTCATTATATTAATGCATAAAGTCACTTGCTGTCTGTTCTTATGTAGTCTTGAATCTTTGAAACTATGCAGTGGAAAATCCAGGTTTTTTTTTATAATGGATAGAGTGATTTGAGAGAAAGGTGAATATGTATGTATGTGATGTAAATAAACACATTTTAGTATCAGTATTGGAACCATGCAAATCAGGGCGGGAACTAGTGCACACTTATTATTCTATTCTCATCACTATCAACTTGTTCTTGTCCCTATGAAGGGTCAAGACTGTATATGCTGCTCTATTCATTTGTATCCATCCTATATGAATCCACTCCATCCTGGACCCTATCCTCTTTCACGCAATCCATCCATACTTTCTTCAGTCTTCATCCACCTTTGTAGACATCCACATTCAGGCTTAAAACTTTCTGGTTTGTCTCAATTCCCTTGTCACAAAACATGTCCATACCACGCTAACTGTTTGCTTCTTAGTTTCCTCTAATATACTTATTTTTAACTTTAACCCTTCCTGTCACACCACACATCCATCTTAACATTGCTTAGTTTGATAAGTGAAAACAGTTTCATATGAATTTTGCTCTAATCGGTAACCATGTAATGTCTCAATACATGACTGACATAAATCTATACTAATATTATAGAGAGGAAAGATTTGTATTTTTGTATATAATGAAATAACTCAAAAATGTCTGGGCTGAATTCAATATTAGAAAGTATCTGTGAGTAACATAAGCTATGTTTTTTATTATTATTTTAATTTCACAGTGACAGTCATGGTTAAGAGCTAGAACATTATAATATGAAATTAATTCCATTAAACTGTATGTAACTTGAGGGTGAATTTAAAATAAACAAGTCTGTGACGACCTTGTTGTCTTATCAGATATACATTGTTTATAAAATTCATGATAATAATATAACAACATATTTAATCTTTGAATTAATAAAGTTATTTTGTAACTTTATGCATTTTGTTACACTTGAGTTATTAGATCCTTAAAAAGTAATGAAAACCCCAAACTTGTATATTACTGTTTTTAATTGTGGTCACTAATTCTTATATGATAAAGTTTATTTTACTTTTATAATTACTGCTGGACAGGACTGGTTTTATTTTATTTTACTACAAAAGTGGATTTACTTTAGTGAAGAATGATAATTGTTTTTGTCACTAAAAGCAGTATTATGTGTTAATTAAGTAAAATAAATTTACTTATAATTCATTTTTAACTATATTTTGCATTGCTATTGTGGATAGTCACAATTGTGGAAATTGTAACAGAAAAGACATGTGCATTGTTTTTGTTTTCTCCAATATATTTACTGAGTTTAAAAGGGACAGAGTTGTTATTTAAATCCTAAGAGAAAATATGTTACACCTCTAAAGTTGTCTATCTATGAATTGATAGTATTTACAATATTTGTGTTGTGCGTTTTCAGTATATTATTTTATTATGATGGAATTTTTTTATGTTCCAGCAAATGGAAAGATTTAAGGTAGTAGAACGCGAAACAAAAACCAAGGCATATTCGAAAGAAGGTCTCGGCGCGGCGCAGAAACTGGACCCGGCGCAGAAAGAGAGAGAAGAGATGTCCTCTTGGCTCAGTTCTTCTATAGATGCACTTAATTTACATGTAAGTTTACCTTTACTTAATCTTATGCTTTTTCACTAACCAGCTCTTAAAGTACTCTTAAATCTTCGAAGGTACATAAGGTACCAATTACTCCTTGATATCTTAAATCAAACAGAAAATTTTATTAATAATTGTTAAGTTAGCTGTTACCCTGTATGTAGCCCATGTGATCTTCCAGACTATGTTATACATCTATGATAAACCAGATTTTATTGGAATCTGTTTAAGCATTTTGGAGATTTGACCCTGATCTGTTTAGGCATTTGGATGTCTATGTGGATTAAAAAAAAAACAAAAGTGGGTAGCCTATGTTTGTGTGTGTAATGAACCATATCCCATGTGTTACTTCTGGCTATGTTTTATATCTATGCCATTTTGTTAAGTTACATTTAACTCTGGCAGAATTATTAAATATGTGTTATTAGTAAATGTGATAAAACCAAATAAATGTATCCTATTGGAATCTTAACTATTACTGGGACCAAAAGTTACCTATGCGTTCTGCCAGACTATTGTCTACATCTGTTTCAAATTTTATAGATATCAGTAATCTTTTGCATTGATAATATTAGTAAGATTTGTGATTTTTGTGTTTTAGGTTGATTTATTTGAGTCTGAAGTAGAGTCATTGTTAGTGGGTAAGAAGAAACGTTTGGATAAGGAGAAGCAGGACCGAATGGAGGAGCTGAAGGTGAAACTGGAGAAGCACAGGTTCCATATAAAGAAGCTCGAGACGTTGCTGCGAATGCTCGACAACATGTCCGTGGAAGTCGACCAAGTTAGTGTTAGCAATGTTTTATACTATATTGTTGTTTGTTGTTAGTTTCTGTGTTACATTTTGAAGTTTTTCTGTCGAAACACATATTAATGTAGTATTTTCTAAATGTAGGTACCATTAGTTATTCATATAATTTTAACAATGTAATTAATATAAACACTCAGACCAATAACTACCGTCAGAATGGTGCGCAAGTCGAATATTTCTAAATGACATTGACAGATGTCCGATAGGGATGGGACATAGTGCCAATTAGCTAGTGTTGCGCTAATCCTCTACTGCAGTACTGATTTTCTTCTTAACGGTACTTATACTCAAACACGGTTTATTTCGTTAAGAGAGTGCTCCTAACTCCTGGTTCTGTCAGAAAGTATAAAAAAACATTGAACGCCTAAAAAGCATAGCATTAGTGAGCTATCATAATTTAGTTTTCTTGTACCAGTCAGAAAACTTCTAAGTCCATAGTCTCGTGAAGTTTTTATAGCACATTCGGCAGTGAAACCTCAGTTATCAGTTGGAAGTTGTAGTTTCTAATTGCGCTTTTATTAATTTTGGTTTAGATATGTTTACCTAATACTAATACATACTAAAAATTTAGTATTAGTAACCTTTACTAATACTAAATTTTTGTTATATTTGGCTAATTGTTAGAGAATCTAGAAGGCTGTTTGTATATTTTTTATTAAATTGTAAATAACGCATGGCTTTGTAATAAATGTATTTTGTTTATAATATAAGTTCTTTTAGAGATAGAATAAGAATTATGAGATGCAATAAGATATTTTGATGTAATAAATTATGGAAGAAAGGGAAATAAAAGTTATATTTCCAAAGGCTTACATCGACTATATCATTTACAGAATTATTTAGTTAGATTATCTATTACTTGTACAACAAAAAACAATAGATAAAAATAGTGTAAAACTGACTGTAGCACTCCAGTGGTTAGGAAAGTCGAGAATAAAAAAGTCTAGATGCAAGTTTCTAAAATGACTGTCTTGTACCGAGCTCTGTTAAGGAGAGTCTTAAAACGAAAGAGACAAGGATACATAAAAAAATCTAATTGACAAATTATTATTTTTAGATAAAAAGAATAAAAGACGATGTTGAATATTACATATTGACATCGTTCGATTCAAACTACGACGAGACGGATTGCATATACGACGACATAAACGGCCTCGACGAGATCGAACTGAGCGGAGTCGGCCTGCCCTCCTCCGCCACCACCGACAGTAACAACAGCAATGACTCGCCCGGCTCCCCCACCAGCATACTCTCAGGTATACTAGCTGTTGCTCGCGACTTCGTCCACGTGGAATAAAAAAATATAGCCTATGTTACTCATTGATAACATAGCTTAATAATGGTGAAAGAATTTTTGAAATCGACCCAGTAGTTTTTGAGTTATTTCAATACATACAAAAATACAAATCTTTCCTCTTTATAGTGTTAGTATGGACTAGCTGTTCTTATGATGATAAAAACTTAGCCATTGGCTGCGAATTTAAAGACCAAGGCAATTTTTGTGTATACTAATGGCTTGTAGTTTTTGTCTCTTTCTCCTATTTTTTTTCCATTTTTCTCTTTCGGAGTGGAAGCCTGACACTAATTTCATTATAATTTTGTTTGCAGGTACCAGCCCAATTACATCACCAGCGTTAGACATACTAAACCATTCAACAGATTCTATAGACGTGGATAAGAAGAAGAAAGCGGAGGAACTCGTTGCCAAAGTAAGAAAACACCAGTATCAACTTTAATTAAAAAAATTGTAGCTGTCAAGTACAGTCAATAATACTAAAACTGTAGGTTTACACAAAATACACAAACACATATTGCTGTCCCCCTCAATCCTTTCATATAGACGGAAACAGTAAGTTATACGATAATTTAGATTAGGACATTTTGTTTTACGCAGTATTGCACCGTTTAAAGTTCCAAAAACACATTTAATTTTTACAACTTAGTTAAAGTTACATAATAATGGTCCATCGGTACCAAAAACTAGTTGAAACCATCACCCAACGATCATACGTAAGTCCTTTTATACATATTTTCTAAAAACCTATTGCTATCTCTCTTTTTTGTATGTATAAATATACATAACGTTAAATATATATAATAATAATATAATACGTATATATAGATGTGTGTGGTTTGTGTAAAAGTAATGAACTTTGCAGCCGGTGAAACCTCTCCCGCTGCGTGCGGTGAACAGCTGCGCGGTCACCAACAGCGCCAATGTCACCTCCTTGCTCAATCACTCCGCAGTATCTACCAACAGGTCAGTACTAACAATGTTTTTTTTACGAGCAAGCGGTTACCTGAATCCACCGAAAAGCGACCGCTGCTCATAAATATCCGCAATTGCAGATGCGTTGCCTACCTTTAATTGACGGAGATGCATATAAAGAGGACATTTCCCCTTTCTATGCGTCTCCACCGTCAAATCCACTTTTCCTTTCCATCCTTTCCACTCAAAAAAAGGGTGCAAAGGGAAAGGGACTAAAATTAGGCCTCCGGCACCACACTTATCAGACTAAACGCGCAATTGCTTCCACTTCACGCCTATCTTCTGTGAGGTCGTGGTATTACACTGGGCAAGCCGGCCCTACAGTGCAAGGATGTTAAAGCGGGCTCTACCACTGTTAAACTTATAATGAACAACTAAACATTTATTGTGATAGGAAGTTTACCCTAAGAGTGACTAGGTTATAGTCAATTTTTGCTCACAGCGGGTTGATTTTAATATATCTTTGAATTTCTTATCATAACAATTGTAACAAAATTTAACCAAAGTGGTACATGGCAGATTATACCTGGTCATATAGATTACTAGCTTTTGCCAGCTTAGAATTTAAAAAAAGTAGTAAGTAGTCTATGTGCTCTTCCAGACTGTTCTTTATCTATGCTGAGTTTCAAACATTTATAGTATTACTCTGAACTATGGTCCGGTTCAGACAAACGCTTAAAAACCGCGCCACCGAAGCTCTAAAAGTAGCCGACGCAAATATACTGTCAGTTTTTTGCTTTAATTTTGATGGTAGATTTAATAATCGCTGTATAATGGAGATGTATAAAGTCATAATATAATGTCAGCTTTGTGCCTGCAGTATAAACACGACAGGGACAGGGACGGGCGCGTCGGGCACCTCCACCCCCATCAAGCTGCCGCCGCCCAGCCCGCCGCACCCCGCGCACCCCGCGCACCTCGCGCACCCCGCGCTGCTGGCGCACCCCGCACACCCCGCGCACACGGCGCACCCTGCGCACCCCGTGCTCCTGCACCAGCGGAACAACACAGGTATGTACCTCACACAAGTATAAGAACGTACACGTAAATGTACGTATATGAAGTTATACGTAGGTGTATGCAAATGTATATATAATCAGACGTAAATGTATACAAATGAATATGAACGTAGACGTAGATGTATACAAATGTATACGAACTTTACCTAGACTAGTTGATGCTCTTGACTTTGTCTGCGTAAAATTAAACAAGAATAAAAAACATAGAATATATTACTCATAGATAACGTAGCTTTTTAATTGTGAAAGAATTTTTGAAATCGCCACAGTAGTTTTTGAGTTATTTCAATACATACAAAAATCCAATAATACAAATCTTTACTCATTCCTAGATGTATACAAATGTATACGAATGTATACCTAGATGTATACAAATAAGAACGTATGCGTACATATGTAGAAACGAATAAAAACTTATACGTCGATGTGTTCGTCCTCATTCCTCTAGTTCCTTACCCTTTCAATCCCTTACATCCACCATCTCACTAAATGTTGCTTAAAAATATTCTTGTGAATTGCAGTTTTACGTAAAGGAAATATTAAAACATGTTGAAAGTTGCTCACTTTACTTAATGCATTGTTACTAATATGTTAGTCCAGGATAAAATAATATTTTAAATTAGTGTATTTCAGTCTGTTACTCAATATCGTATATGTGTACTACAATGTGAATATTAAAATTGAGTCTTGAGTTTATTGCGCTTATCCACGCAACTTTTAATTATGCCAGTACAAAGGTGAATGAACTCTTAACTTACGTACTAATAACACTTTGTAAATTCTCGATTATTTATACTTTATTTTCGTATCGAAAAGTTCTATTTGATTGATAAAATTTTAACATATCCATTGGGAAGGGATTAGCTAAATATCCGTGTACATTTGGCACATTATCAAAACTTCCCTAAATAATTCCACATAAGTCTGTTGACGTTTGCCAAGGGATAGATATTAAAATAAAACGTGTTAATGAAATCAACTAAAACCCATTATAGTTAGCATATTTTAATGCTGTACTCAATGGACAATTCTCATTAATTCTATACCAAACCTTAAATGTGTGGTGCGTCTTGTTTACAATATTTATGCTTTCATTTGAATTTCACACTCGAGGAAAAGTAATATATTCCAATAAAATAAAGATAAAAGATAAAGAGATTAAAACAATAGCTAGTTATCAATGATAACCGTACGCCGCGTTGTTTACACAACAAACCGCCTCGTGAATGAGTTGGCGGGAAATATCAGCGGACATGTTGCGAGTTTGGCAGGCGGCCATGTTTTCTATGAACGCGGTCTTGGCTCACGGCCAGGATGACGTGGCATCTCTCCGCGAACAAAATGCTCAGTCGATAGGCTCTATTCAGAACGGTCGCAGCCTTTACTATCCTTCCATAGCTATGTTTTCCCGCGCTTACGACAAATATGGACGATGGTAATTTTTATAGTTTAGTGCATGAATTGTTTTTCGAAGTTTTTTTTTTACTGTTTATATTGCGCAGTTGTGTTGTGAAGTTCAATGTTGATTATGTAATTATTTGCGCGTGCCCGGTTTACGTTGGTGTGTAAACGTAGTGTTTTCATACAACCGCGTTTTGTGTTTTTAACTCGACTTTTCTTGCGTTGTTTTTGTTAGATCATGATTTGCACTTTTCAGTGGTTTGATTATTTGAAAACAAAGAATAATATTATTGTTAGTAATTGAAATAAAATAAATATTATTTGAGAAAATCCATATGTGAGATTATTTAAATAATTTTTCATAGACTAGTACTATCGAAATTATATTTGTAAATTTGTGTATCGTTTTTGTTTACTTTGTCATAAGAAACGATCACATTTAAAAAACAAATAATAATTTTTAGTAGTCAAATTAAGTCATGTTGGATATTCATGAGTGACAAATTTTTTTTTAATCCAAATATCGCGTCACTATGTAGGTATGTCTGTAATAAACTTTAAAGCCTAAACCGATTTAGATGAAATTTCATATGATTTTATTTGTTGCAGAGATAGTGGAGAATGGTCCAGTATCAATCGCACCACTACACAACGCTGTCATCCATCAAACACCTCTCGCTCAACCCCTACCTGTGAGTTAGCCACCCCTAACGTTATAATCTCTCAAATATCAATGTAATCTCGTTTACGGCCGTGAATAGCGTCATATAAACTTTACGGAGGCTAGTATTATTACTATTGTGCGTTAAATATTGCGCAGCGTAAAAAAATTGATGAGCTATGAATCAGCTCAAAGTTCGCGTGGGTGAAGCTGATCAGTGATCCAACTCATAGATTACCTCAATTGCGTGTCACCGGTTTATTCCATAGTTATAGGACAAATTAAGCCATGAGTAGCTCATCTAGTTGTTGAGCGCTAGCTCAACGGTGTAAGGCTATGTGAGCTGATGTTTTAACCAATTCTGATATACACGTATCTAGTGTACACAATTATTGTAACTTTGGTCACATAGTAGCAGATGTTTTTATTATTTGCAGACGTCAAAAAGTACGTCAGCGACGCCGTCGAGCGCGAGTTCGTCGAGCGGCGCGGGCGCGGGCGCGGCCACGCCGGCGCCGCGCGAGCCCTCACCCCCGCCCGCGCCCGCGCCTGCGCCCGCCCCCGCACCAGCGCCCGCGCCCGCCTCCGCGCCCGCCCCCGCGCCCACGCTCAACGGGCCCGTCCTACTCACCAATGCGCATGCGCTCGCGCACACCCACCCACACCATCATATCGCAGACAAGTTAGTGTCAATTTTAAACTACATTGTCATCACCAGCCCATTATACGTCCCCACTAAGGGGCTCAGAGCCCTACCCTAAGTAGTTTTTCTATTTTTACAACAAAGTTTTTTTTTTATTCGTGGGTGGAGTGTTTCGTCGATGCTTTGCGGACGACGTTTCGCTATTTTCCCTCATTACTATATGCCATACTTAAAATCGCCAGTCACAGTCGCAGCGCAGACCTTATTTTTAAATGTGGCAAGGCTCGGCAGGATGAGAGTTAGAGTATTACTGATCGTCCCCGACAACCTTGGGCCGTTGAGATATTCGAAAAGCGTAATACTTAGAAAACATGTAATGTACATTTAATATGAGATATATGTAACAAAAATGTTACAAATTCATAAACTAAGTGAGAGGAGACTTGAGTATGAGTCCAACAGTATATATGTCCGCAGCGGCATCGGCAGCCCGCCGCCGAGCGCCGCGCCCGCCGGCACCGCCTCGCTCAAGAGCATGGCGCAGGAGGCCGTGCAGCGCGCGGGGCTCGACGCGCACCATACACAGGTAAACATCACTACATACATTATCATACATTAAAAGAGAAAACTCGATAGAGACTAGAGATCAGTCATTAACAGAACCAACCTAAAGAAATTCCCAAATGAGTAGTCTTTACGGGGCGAAATATTAATAATTAAAGAATAATAGGGATAAGCATGTGTAAAGAATCAAAATGTCCAAAATTATTAAAGTTTTTCGTATTGTGTGATTTTAATGTCATTTTTGTTTACTTCCAGAACACAAGAAGAGGAACAGCATTATCTCAAGCACACATCCCCCCTTTATTAGGCGTCGCGCCTTTGGGACCCTTACCTTTAACAGCTGTTAGTATTGATATCATAATACTTCATACTAATATTATAAATGCGAACGTTTAGATAGATGGATGTTTGTTAGAGTTTGTACCCTAAACGGCTGAACGGATTTCGATGAAATTTGGCATGAACATAGAGAATAGTCTGGTGGAACACAGGGTACTCAGTTTTGTTTTTTTTTTTAAATAATTCCACGCAGACAGTCGCGAGCAGAAGCTAGTTAACAATAAGTAAAAAAGCAATTTCTTTAAATTAATTATTATTTACTGTAATATTTGCAGGAGCATCAGTTACAGTACCGAATGATGGAGTCATCTTTCTACCATATGCCGCATCCGTCCGACTCGGAGCGCATGCGCAACTACCTGCCGCGCAATATCTGTCAGACGCCCCTCTACTACAATCAGGTAGATGATAATCTCACCCCACCACGATGCCCAAATACAAGAAACATCCCTAAGTTTATATGCATTTGCACACACTCGTTCCTAACTCAGGATACATGACACACTCGTCCTAAAGAATACACGACACTTGTCCCTAAGAATACATAACACTCTTATCTAACCTATAATAAATGGCACTCCTTATCGCGGAGTACATGACACACTCATCTCTAAGAATACATCACACTTGTCCCTGAGAATACATAACACTCTTATCTAAAATAAATGACACTCCCTAATGCAGAGTATATGACACACTCGTCCGTTAGAATACATGACAATTGTATTTAACGTAGAATAGATTACTTACCGGTTCTTTACTCGAATTAATGCCGCATATGGCATGATTTTCGTGTCTTGATTGAAATTCACACTAATGTCAAAATTGGAATATATGACACACTGGTCCTACTGGTAGCGTATAGAGTACTGACGTAGCGGTGTGGTTGTCGCGGTGCTAGGTGCTGCTGCCGCACTCGGACTCTGTCGAGTTCTTCCAGCGGCTGTCGACGGAGACGCTGTTCTTCGTGTTCTACTACATGGAGGGCACGAAGGCGCAGTACCTCGCCGCCAAGGCGCTCAAGAAGCAGAGCTGGCGCTTCCACACCAAGTACATGATGTGGTTCCAGAGGCACGAGGAGCCGAAGGTCATCAATGAGGAGTATGAACAGGTTCGTGTACTTGTCGGTAACATTTACTTATGATTGGAAGCGTACATATTTTTGCAGCTGGCTGTACTTGTATACAATATGGGGCAAATGGATCTCGGCTTAAGTTTTAATATCTATTCATTTTTGTTTTAGGTTCATTATCAAAACTTACATCGATTATTAATTCTTGATGAATAATTTAGTAATTGTAACATTTCAGGGCACGTACATATACTTCGACTACGAGAAGTGGGGCCAGAGGAAAAAGGAGGGCTTCACGTTCGAGTACAAGTACTTAGAGGACCGCGACTTGAACTGAGGGCGGGCCTCGTGCAGGCAGCGTGCAACGCCCGCGTCACTACCGCGCCGCACCCGCGCCGCAGCCGCGCCGCACCCGCGCCGCAACCGCGCCGCAACCGCTACCCGGTGGAAAACTAAATTCTCTTTCATTCCGTTAAGAGTATTATATTTATGAATCGGCTCCTCGGTCTCTGTGATGACCGCCGGCTGTGTGACTCGACTTTAAAAGTGAATACAAGATTGCACGAAAACGTCTCAACAAAATGTTCATATCGAAGTAGTATAGTGAGTGGTGTGCCGGGGGATGACAGGGGATGACAGGGGATGGCAGGGGAGGGGCAGTGCAGTGCAGTGCAGTGGCATGTCATGTGATGCAATAACTTTAGTCCGCCCCGTGGGCTAGTATTTAAAAAGAAATGTGATATCGATATAGGAACCCGGAGCGTATTCGGATACACGACTTAATATGTTCCTTCCTCCTGTAATAAAATTATTGTTTTTTTTTAATAATCATCACTTTTGAATCTGTATAAAATTTTGTATGTCATTTTTATTTGTACAATTAATTGATGTTTTGGAAAGTAAATGTTGGTGTATTTATTATCTGAGGTGTACATTAGTGTCAAATGTTGCTAGTCATGCCATCTGAAGATGTTATTCGGTATTGCTCTGGGTGATTTTTTTAACTTGTAGTGACTGCAACTAGTTTGTGTAATACTTAGCTAACTTATACATACCACACTATGAGTTAAACTAAAATGTTAAATCTGTCTTCAGGCATTGGAGCTGTGTAATTTATGAGGAATATGTAAAAAATTTAGTTTAAGTGCAAGATTTTAAATCGATCTCATATTTGATAACACTGTAGTATGTTATTTATCCCAAAGACCCTTAATGCCCGCTACATATGTACAGTTCTGACAGTTTTAACGGAATAACCGAACTATTCAGTACAAACTGTTGCATATATAGGTAAAATATTAACTGTGCAGTTCAACTGACAGTTTATATTTTGTCTACACATGTAGTTTTAACTGAATAGCCGAACTTTATTTGACTGTTCAGTTAAAACTTAACGGTTTGGCTGTTCAGTGAAAACTGAACTGAATTTATGTGACGGGCTTCACATTGGTATGTGTAAGTTAAGCTGAAGACAAAGTATAAGGAACTCTCTCACTTAAGCTTTTGTTAAATTTATTGCATTTAAGTTGAACAAAATGAAGGGAAGCTCGTAAATCACTGCCAAGTTTTAGTATATCTGGTGCAGGATTTGATGCGGACGGACTGTTGTCATTTTATATATGTCACATTTAACCCTTTGATTGCCAAATGATAAATTAAACTCCATTTAAGTATTTTTAGTGGAAAAATCGACCCCCAACGTTTAGCTCTCTTTTTTTTATAAATCAAAATAAAAATCATAAAATCGGAATTTTGTATTTTAAATACTGCTATAATAAATCTGGCAATATTATGTCTTGGTCACAAATGTATGACTGAATAATCATGTAATTTATTTTCCTAAGAAATGTGATTGTTTAGGGGATAATATAAAAATAAAATTCTCATTGAATTAGTGCGTGTATGGAGGTTAATTAAGTGAAGATGAAAGTAAGATGTATGGAAGATGTATGACCACCAGTTTGGTGTCATACAAGTGAGCAGTAATAAAAAATAAGAGTAATTGTATGTATGTTAATGTATGGAATAAGAGGTGTACCAAGACCATACAAAATTCATCAAACAGTGTTTTCTTATGTCTATTGATAGTTATTGGTGCTGTGGAAATTTGTACTTTAACACTATTGTTTTAAGGTTGAAAATCAAACGGTTAAATGAGATATAAGAGTGGGGGAGTTCATTGTATGGCGACTAACGTAATGTACTGCCAGAGGAGGCCTCGTACAGTCGGCGATTTTCCATTATGTGAGACAGATTGTGTGATTTTGTAAGTTTTACAAGGCGTTAAACCATATGACATAATGTACAAACAGTCGAATTTATATGTATGTATAAAGGACAGGGCTTATCACGATCGACAACTTTGTATTCCATCATATCTCTTACAAATTTTGTCGATGTTACGAAAACGAAGTCGCAACTGTTTCATTCGTGATAGACCCTCAATTATTGGCTCTATTGCAATGTCATAACACAATTTCTCTTAATATTCTCTTTGAGTAAATAGATTTATACATATGTCACATTGTATAAAACTATGTCCATATGTGTCAAATTGTATACAAATATGTCCATATGTGTCACAATGTATACAAATTTGGCCATAAGTGTCACAATGTATACAAATTTGGCCATAAGTGTCATGTTGTATCCAAAGTGGTAAAAATTTAATTTTGGTTGTTGCATGTATGGGTCAATTAGCATCACAATAGAAATTCATCTAGCGGTTTATGTAGGCGGTATTTTCCTATTTATTGACATTTAAATGCCTTTGTAGTTATGGGCGATAGTAACAGCAACTGGCTTGCGTTATGTAAAAGTGTTTGAAAGTTTTGACCACTTTGGTTATTACATGTAATACTGGATACATACATATAAATGGTTTTCAGTTGACTGTTTGTATAAACAGTTTTAGTACATTTTCAGTTAAAGTGCAGTTGTAGGCGTCCAGTTAGTCACTAGTGTATACTTGGCAGCATTACCATTGGTTAAAATCAAATTGTTTATTTCATATCAAGACATACTGTGATGGGACTATAACTGTGTGATGTTAGTGATGGACATATTTTATACATAAAATCGGAAAGTGATAAAAATGTTTAAAAATATATCTAAAGAATCAACATTGCTATTTTGTATGATTTTAATGTTTGGGTTTTTGTAAATTGTGTAATTTACTGGACGTGTACAATGTAGGGAGCGTCGATTCGTTTCGAGTGATATCGGTATGTGCCTAGCAATATATGATGCAGCGTGCGCGGGCAGATGCGGGCAGGGGGCGGGACATGCAGTCGGGGTGGGGACAGGGCGGGACGGGCGGGGACGGGCAGCGGAGCCTAGTTCAGCGGTACAATGTAGAGCGCGATCTCGATTATTTCCGTGCGTGGTTATGATAGTTTTCATTTTTGTAAAAAGTCTATCGTGAGAGCAGATGAAATGTGGTAAATAATAATTTAAAGAATTCACTGTACAGTTCTATTTGTATAGAAATAATAAATAATGATTAAAAAAGAAAACATTTTAAAAAATATATATTGTCTTTGATTTTACCACTTTTAAACAATGCAATATACAGCATTGTCCTGATTAAGAAGAAAGAAGGTACAGAAAAGTTGGTCAGAGGTGAGAATCATCAACGTGCCCTTGTCCCTACGGAGTCAGCACAAATCTGAATTCACTTCCTTCTTAAGAATATCAACTTTCACACAATACTTCGATCTTCAAAGAAATTTCAACAAGGTATTCAGCCAAATTTCAACAACATCCATCCATCTAAACTTTCTCAACTATGATAAAGAGGAAAGATTTGTATTTTTGGATTTCTGTACATGTTGAAATAACCCAAAAACTATTCGAACGATTTCAAATATTATCATGTTAAAAAGCTATGTTATCACTGAGTATTATTACAATTTTATGATTTTTAATTTCTCGCGGACGAAGTCGCGAGCAACAACTAATTTATAATATTAGTAAGAATCTTAAGATTGATGAAATAAAATACAAATATTGGTTATAATGTGTAATCATCGTTTCCTCTTTCCCCCGCGCGCGTGTTTGTGTCCCCGCATGCGGCGGCGCACGCCCGCAGCCTCCTCCGTGTCGTCGTCCGACTCCGCGCCGCGCTTCTTGCCCTTCTGACTCTTCTTGTCTTCTAATTCCTTCATTTCCTGCGTACATATATCATTAATTTAAATTCAATATTTATTGATAATGCCAACTGCAGAGAAAAAAAATCGCTCCTCTTTATATAAAAAAAAGATTTTTTCGGAAATCTACAGAACCCACTTAACAGAACTATTATTTAAAAAAAAATAGAGCATTTTGATTTATAGCAATATTATCCAGAGGAAAGATTTTTACTGCATGCATTGAAATAACTCAAAAACTACTGGGCCGATTTCAAAAACTCTCACCATTATAAAGCTTACGTTATTTATGAGTAACATTGGGTATGTTTTTTTATTTCATCTTTAATTTGCGGACGAAGTCGCAAGCAACGACGAGTCTATTATAATATTATAAAGACAAAAGTTAAGATGGATTGATATTTGTTAAAGTTTGTAGCCTAAACTGCTAAACGGATCTGAATGAAATTTGGCATAGATGTTGAGGATTCTCTAGAAGAACAGATAGGCTACTTTTTTATTATTATGCTACGCGAATGGAGTCGCGGGCGAAAGCTAGTACACAATAAAACCACGAAGTTATCAGTGTGCTTACAATCTTGGTGAGGCGCTGCGCCTCCGCGACCCTCTCCTGCAGCAGCAGCACCTCGCTCTCCTCGCTGGGGTACAGCGGCAGCTGCTTGCCGATCAGCTGCTCGATGCGCTGGTACAGCTCCACGTCGTACTGACAACAAATAAACAAAACATTTGAGTGCCCTGACATTTGTATTAAAATAATAACTATTCTTCTGCGGCTTCCTCATGAAAGAAAATACATTTAATTGTGCAATAAATATAAACAAGAGAGTAGACCACTGACCTCTATATAATAGCTATACCAAGTATTTTTCGTCTATTAGATTTTCGCCATTTTGGCGAAGATGGATAGTGAAGGACTTAATAGGGTTTATTTCAGAAATTGGTGAAAGATTTAAAAAAAGGCACTTTTGTTTGTCAAATATCGTTACTAAATAACATTTTGGTAAAAAAAGTCTATATAGGTATGTTTTTACAGTAATAAAGTATACAAAAAAATTTTAATCCAATTTGGCATCATATGAATTAAATAGTGAGTTTAAGAAGCAACGTAAAATTTGATTCCGAATAATCCTATCCATTTATACAGATCTGTGCAGCACCTGTGAGACGAAGGTGATAGCCTTGCCGGCTCTCCCTGCCCGTGCTGTGCGTCCCACGCGGTGGATGTAGTCCTTGCTGTGCAGCGGGATGTCCAAATTCACAACCACATCTACATGCGGGATGTCCAGACCTCTGCAACATTCAAAATGTAAGTTGCATTACTATTGCTAGCTAACACTATGGACAGGAGTTCATCAAATGCTTTAAAATATAGGGGACAATGAAGAGAGAAATTGAACAGTGGTAGTGCCCACTTTAACATCTTCGCATTGCAGGGCCAGCTCGCCCCCAGCAATACTACGACCACACAGAAAACAGGCGTGAAGTAGAAGCAATTCTACGTTTTGTCTGATGAGTGTGGTGCCGGAGGCCTAATTTTAGTCCCTTTCCTTTTCCACCCTTTGCTTAAGAGGAAATTTGACGGTGGAGGAAACGCATAAGAAGGGGAAATATCCCTTTTTATGTACGTCTCGGATGTCTATGAGCAGCGGTCGCTTTCCATATCGGTGGATTCAGGTGGCCACTTGCTCGTTTGTCACATTATATTATAAAAAAAAAGAGAATCAGCGGGGTTCACTTAAAAGATTGACACCAGCTTCCTTCGACAAAATAACATTTGATTTTACATATTGCTGACAAAGAAATATAAAATATCTGGAACTGTCAATGACTTTCCTATATTATTAAGCCATATCGCTGATCGAAGTCACACTAAGGGGGGCTGAACGCCTTGGTTACAGTGGCAATTTGTCAAAGAGGTTAAAGACTGACGCAAAATAAACTAACCTGGAAGCAACATCAGTACAAATAAGCACCGATCGTGCTTTAGTTTTAAACTTGTTGAGTGCGGCGAGGCGGCGCTGCTGCGACATCTGTCCGTGCAGCGGCACCGCGGCCACGCCCAGCGCGCGCAGCAGCAGCGCCGCGCGCAGAGCGCCCGCACACGTCGACACAAACACTATGAACGAGTTGCCCGACAGCTCGTTGATTATGTGCACCAGGTATACGTCCTACATATAAACACATTATTTCAAAAACCAACTGAATCTTACTAATATTATAAATGCGAAAGTTTAGATGGATGGATGTTTGAGTTTGTAGCCTATATGGCCTACCAGATCTCGAATGAAATTTGGCATTAATGTAGTGGATAATCTAGAAGACATCGGCTACTCACTTTTTTTTTAAAATTCCACGCGGACGGTGTCGTGAGCGAAAGCTTCGTTTTTTTATAACATGAACTGGCACACGTGCAAGTGGCTACCTGAATCCATCGAAATGGAAAGTGACCGCTGCCCATAAACATCCGCAATTGCAGATGCGTTGCCTACCCTTAACTGACGGAGGAGGAGACGCACATAAAGAGGATATTTCCCCTTCCTATGCGTCTCCTCCACCGTCAAATCCAAATAAGTATAGACTTAGTATTAGTATAGACTAATACTAATACTAACTATATAATAAAGAGAATAGATATTTATGTATGTATTGAAATAATTCACAAATTAATAGGCCAATTTCAAAATTTCTTTCACCGTAATAAAGCTACATTATCAGTGAGTAACATTGGCTTCATTTTTTAATTCCACGCGGACAAAGTCGCAAGCAACAGCTAGTATATTAATATACTCGAAAACGTGGAAAACAACATTAGTCAAGTACATAAAAATTAAACTAAACTGAACAAATAACACATTACATAAAATTATAAACAGATGGATAACTATGACAAATTGTAAAAATCAATAGACAAACCTTATATTTCAAAGGTATAAAAAGGTAGTATTGCTGCAATTTGTCCACAGTCTGGTATTTAGTTGACACCTCCACCTTCACAGGGTCCCGGAGAGAAGCTCTTTGTAGCTTCTGTACTTTCTTGGTCATCGTAGCTGAGAACAGGTATGTCCTTCTCTCACGAGGAATTACACGCAAAATCTTGTCTACTTCCACTTCAAAATCCATATTTAATATACGATCTGCTTCATCCATAACCTGCAATTTTACATCATTATTATAATAAACACTAGCTTTTGCACGCGACTTCGTATGCTCTAAATTAAAAAATCTAGGAATAAATTTAGTCTGTCTTACTTAGAGATATTGTAGCTTTTCAATGGTAAAAGTTTTTGGAACCAACCTAGTAGTTATTGAGTTTACTTCATACAAAAACACAAATCTTTTCCTGTGATATAAAAATATGAGTTTTAAGGCACACAATTTATTACTGATGCAACACAGATGCGATGCAATCATAGCATTCTTTCAACAACAAAAAATTGTTAATTCTTTGACATAAATGTACATACATATTTTGACATCTGACAAAAAAAAAAAATTCTAACAATCAGATCTAAAACTTACCAAAAACTTAAGTGCCTTTAAATTAAATCCTTTAGTGTTCTCTAAATGGTCAACCAGACGTCCCGGGGTGGCTATGATGATGTGCGGCTTCTTAGAGAGCATCAGAGCCTGCGCTACCATATCCATACCTCCCACAATCACTGCACATTTCACACCAATACTTGCTCCTAGAAATTTTTATTATTAATGCAAATGTATACTTCCGATTGTCTTTTGTCAGTAACAGCTAGTATCTCTAGCTGTATTAAGGTATTTCTAAGGCAATTGCTAACAATTGGCTGCAAATGTGATAATTTTGAGTATAAAGTTAAATAGACATTTTCTTAAATCTTAAATCACCACACAAGCATCATAGAAGATAATTTTATAAGTGTATAATGTCATGTACTGTGCTGTGTGCAAACTAAAAAACTTTGTGTTGCCACAATACTTAAAAGGGCCAATTCTAGCAACATTGTAATACAGTCTTACCAAGTGCTTCAAATTGTTCAGATATTTGGAATGCCAACTCTCTTGTAGGTGTCAGAATTAATGCAAAATATCTCTGAGGGTTTTCCAATAATGCTTGTAATATTGGTAATGCAAAAGCACCCGTTTTACCAGACCCTGTCTCTGCGAGACCAATTATATCTTTGCCTTCTAATGCAACAGGTATCGCCTCTTTTTGGATCTTTGATGGGTTTTTCCATTTCAATTCTCCACAAGCCTCGCATAGCACATCAACAACGCCCTGAAATATATTATCAAGAAATAAATACCAACACAAACATATTTTAAATTAAAATGTAACATATTTAAAATAGAACATTTCTTAAAAACTGTTTAATCTGTGTTGCCTTTAGGATACTCGAAATCACCAAAAACAATGATCCTTACCAGATCTTTAAACGTTACAGTTTCTTCTTTCTCATCTTTGTTTTCACTTGTAACATCATCCGCTTGTTCTTCCGTTTCTTCTGTTGAATGTTCACTAGCGTTATCACTATTTTCACTGTCTTCGGTCATTTTTAATTTATTAATTGAGAAATAAAACTACAATATCACACGTGCGAATGGCATAATCGTGACAAATGACATTGACAGAAAAAGAAGTTGCCACAAAAGTTAAAAAAAAATTAATATTCTATATTGGCAACTATTGAAAACATTTTATTGAAATTGTTAATTATTAATAAAGATTATTGATCTAAAAAAATTAATCAGTTAAAGTTAGTTTTAAATCTATAAGCTAAGAAACTTGCATTTCTAAAAAAATGGTTTTTGACATCTCACATTAGTTGGCTGTCTGTCTTAATCCTACTTTTGCTTTTTTGTTTAGAAAAAGTGATTCCAAAACAAATCAAATTAGTTGAGGTTATATTTTTCGTTACCTAGTTTAATACAAAAGGAATAAATAAAAGTACTTTTAACACCTAAAAACATGGCTAAGCATCATCCAGATCTTATTTTCTGTAGGAAGCAACCTGGTGTCGGTAAGTTCAATGATACAAATAACCAGTTGTATGTATTTGTTGCATCTTGTAATTTTACTTTTTATTTACCCAGCTATCGGTCGTTTATGTGAAAAATGCGACGGAAAATGTGTTATCTGCGATTCATATGTGCGTCCTTGCACACTTGTTCGTATTTGTGACGAATGCAACTACGGCTCGTATCAGGGGCGGTGTGTTATTTGCGGAGGTCCCGGCGTCTCCGACGCGTACTACTGCAAAGAGTGCACTATACAAGAAAAAGATGTACGTATTTTAATTTTAATATTCCCAGAAATCCAAATATATGCTTCTCTCCCTATGGTGCTATACATATTCAAAAATAACTGTCGAGGTTGAAAATTTATTTTAACATAGAACTTTTTGTTTATTTCTCAAGCATATTTATTAACTTGATAATCTATTTTCAGAGGGATGGCTGTCCAAAGATTGTAAACTTAGGCAGTTCAAAGACTGATCTGTTTTATGAAAGAAAAAAATATGGTTTCAGGAAACATTAGCAGGCATCTGCTCTGAAAGATACAGTGAATTGAGAAATGTGACTGTGATGTGTTCAGATAAATGGTCTTTTATTTATAAGAATTTTTGACAACTGTTAAACTAATGGAAAGTTCTGCATTTTTGTTTTTCAAGTAATTTAGCCTAATTTAGGTTTCCGATTTGTTTGTTTAAAAAAAAAATAACTTTACATGTCAACCACAAGTGTAACACTATCCCTGTAAATAATTGATTCTTAGTTTTAAGGCACTAATAAAGTGAAAATTATTTCTGAAACATTGTTTATTTTTATACAAAATGTGGAATTTTTAATGAATAAAACAAGGAAACATTACTATATCTTTATTGACAATAAAATTCAAAGATCTACAACACACTTCAATCTAATAAAGCCACCTCACAAATTTAAAAAAAAAAAATATTCTTTACATCTATATACAATATGTGTTGCCAGGGATTTATTCTGCATTCTTTGTATATTTCCTTTTAGTATAGTATGCCATTCCAAAAAAAATAACCCCTAAAAATATTACAATGCATGTTATAAAAAAAATTACTAATAAACACATTTATTTACTTACATAATAATAATAGTTTGACCATGATGTACAGATTTTTCGTACAATCTTATTACTAAGCTATTGTAATTTAGGAACTATAATTTATATTCGTTATATTTTGACAACAAATGACATCTTATAGGTTATGTTTTTTTTCTTTTTGTTTTTGTAACCTTTTTGATGTCAGTACAAAAATGAATGATCTGTATAAATGGATAGGTCTTTAATTGGAAATGACAGCTTCTACTTATTACTAATATTATAAATACGTAAGTTTAGATGGATGGATGAATTGATGTTTGTTAGAGTTCGTAGCCGGAAAGGCTGAACGGATTTCGATGAAATTTGGTACAGATGTAGAAGATAGTCTGGATGAACACATACGCTACTTACTTTTGTATTTTTAATTCCACGCGGGCGGAGTCGCGGGCGAAAGCTAGTGCAATCATAAATGGATCTTTGGTTTACAGTTCAATCCGACCAAATCAGACATATAAATAAATTAAAATAAAGTCAGTTTAAATCGATCATGATTGTTAAGTTTTAAAATTTTCTCTATTAGTACTATTTGCTGATGAAACAGAGGTGTTAGTCCAAACATCAGGTTCCTTAGTACTGGCTTCAGAGTATGTAGGTCGTGCTGGTATGATGGGAGAACGAATACAAACGCTGAAAAAAAAAATAGTAAGACTTCCTTAATTTTACCTGCAGTCTTTATCTTGTTTCTTCAAGATAATATATGAAGTGTTTATATTTATTACTTTATCGTAGTTGGAAAACTAACTACGGAATTATTTTTGAAAGTATTTCCAATAAAATAAATTAATTTATGTAAAATCTAACATATAGAGTGCACATGCATAAATTGAATAAAGATAATGCATTTAATTGCAAGCTTTTAAAAATACTAAGCATATGCCATGCCATTATAAGATCATGTGTTGAATTTGCCATCAGAATTAAAAATGTATTTGCTTTAGTGCTAGTATTAAATATTATACGTTTACAGTAAAATGTATTTAATTTTATTTGATTCTGCAAAAACATAAAGTTAACAATATTTTTAATAGATTTTTTATATTAAAATAGTTCATGCGTGCTGTCGTGTCGGAATATTTTTTACTTCTGATCCTCCACTGACCTGCTGTACAATCCCATTAAATAATTACCTATAAAATATTTGAATTATTTACTTTTTAATTATACATGTATACGAAATCATTCGTTTTAATCCAGAAAAACCAAAAGGTTTAAGAACCTAAAGAAAAAGATGAAAAGAATCTATTTAATATTTAAATAAATAAATAATAAACATTTTTTGTAAAATCTTACGTTAAACAATTTTATATGTACAGTCGTGGAACTCCGCGGTGTTACACTTTCAGAAATATTGCCGTCTTTAAGCGAGATGAACTCCGCCTCTTGCAATAACCAATTAGGTAGAAGCGATTTTCGCTACTATAAAATAGTAATAAAATAACAATTGACTGTAACACTAATCGCTTTCCGTATAGATATCTTTAAAAGATGCGTTCTATTGGTTATTGTGCCGCGTCATCTCAATAAGTGTAAAAGTTCAAGCGACTTTTTTAGTTAGATTACCGACAAATTCCTTGACAGGTGAAAAGTACATACATGTATAGATCTAAATGGGTTTATGCCATTTTATAAATTTACAAGTATTAAGTTCGACTATGGTTGGCTACAAACAAAGAGGAAATCCGAGGAACTAATAAATGCATTGTGCGAAAGAGGATCTGCTTAAGAAGGGAGTGGATTCAGATATGACGGCTGATAGAGATGTATGGAAGAGCAGCACATACTTTGCCGACCCTCTTAGGAACAAGGGTAAATTGATAAGAGAAGTAATGTAACTCACGAGTTGACATCCTCTAGTTTCTTGAGCAGGCGCTCATTCTCCCTGGTGACGAGTTCGTGGTCTCTGAGCAGCAGGTCTCGTGCGGCGAACAGGTCGCGGTTCTCTCGGCGCAGCGCGGCGCTCTCCGCCATGTGCAGCTGCACCAGCCGCACCAGCTCCGCCGCGCCCAGCTGCTGCAGCTGGTTGCTCTCCATCCGCGGAGACAAATCTCTCTCACCTGCTGAAATATTGCCTTTTGGTGTGGAAATTAACTAGCTTTGGCCCGTGGTGTTGCACGTATTGTATTGAAAAGAAAATAGCAGCCGTTCGATCATTTTATACTATTATTAATTGTTCCTAACCAAAAATAATAATTAAATTTAGCCGATGTTATTCGCAGATAAATAACCTTTCTAATGGTAAAAGAGTTTTTAAAATCGGCCCGGTAGTTTTTACTTAATACATACAAAAAAAACATACAGACGAATTGAGTACCTCCTTCTTTTGGGAAGTCGGTCAAATACAAATCTTTCCTCTTTATAATATTAGTTTAGATAAGATTACCTAAGGGGTCGATGCTATAGTCGATGTGGACGTGTAGCGCTGTCCGAAGATGTTGGTTCTCAGCTTGCAGCAGCTCCACTTCTCTTTTCAGACTTAGAATTAAAGCATCTCTTGCGTCCTAAGAATTTATAAACACTTATGCTACTAAGATTTTCACGTACTATAACGAATTTTGTCGATGGTATTTTTATACCAAGTGATAAAATTAGAAGGCGGAGTTAGTAAAGTCATACAAATAAATAAAAAAATCAACGTACAATTTTGACGATAGGTTTAGATTTGATCTTCTTAGCTCTGGCGGCGTAGCGCAGTGTGTTGATGGACTCGCTGAGGTTGGCCTGCGTCGGCGCAATGCACGCTATCTGTTACAATGATAAACTATAATTTCTACACCTAGAGTTACTTAAACTATCACTTAGGTTTCTTATATTAAATCAACACTAAGCTACGCTGTTAAGTAACATAATATACGTTACATTATGAATATCTTACCATTAACGTGACCCCATTCCCCGCCAAGCTGTCTGCCAGCAGTTTGGTGAGTTTGCTGTCCCGGTATGGTATGTGACCTCTCTTTTTGCCATCACTTAATTGTGCTATACAATATCCTGTTGAAGGATTTTGGATTTTACTCGACTTATCAATAAGAACTTTATTTTTTACGCCTTTATGTCTGCAACTGCAACTATCTGTTCTAAGAGCGAATTGGTCTAACAGTCTTCATTCATTATTTATTTAAAGAATAAAATCTCTAATCGAAGATAGAAAAAAGACCGAAGAAAATAATGATGGATGTAAAAAGGGAGTGAATTCAAATTTAACGGCTGATAGAGATGTGTTAAAGTGTAGTACATACTAAGCCAAAGAAGATAAGGTGTCTCGATGATGCTTACCTAATACCATGAGACTTCTGTTAATATTATTAGCTTCTTCCAGTGTTTTGCCGGTGGAGTGCGTGCGCTTGGTCATCTCGCTGCCGGCGAGGTCCACGAAGTTGATCTTGCCGTGCGTGGAGCACGTGACGTCACGCTCGCTGCGCACGTCGCGCCGCACGCGCACGCTCAGCAACGTGTGCGAGCGGGACGAATGCGCGTTCATCGAATGCGAGCCCACCGCGCGGTTGCGGGTACCTACACAAATATACTAGCTATCGCCTGCGGTTCCGTCCGCATGGAATTAAAAACAAATGAAAGTGGTGTCTTCTTCCATACTATCCTCTACATCTATGCTAAAAATAGAGATCCGTTCAGCAGTTTTGGCTGCAAATTCTAACATACATTCATAAAAACTTTCGCATTTATAATATTAGTAAGATTAATTAATTAAATGTAAAGATAGAAATAAACTAACTAAGCTGAAGACGCTTGTTTCTTGCGGTGGATGGACCTAGGCTTGCTTTAGTAAAAATCTTTCTTTGGTCTACTTTGAGCTATGTTTCTGGTCATAATAACAGACATAATCCTAAATTACAGTTCGGAAGATGACAATTCTGGACAATATTCGAAGCTAAGTGAATACAATGTTTATTTCTTTGAATCTACCTTCTTCCAGAACAGCGAATAGGTCATCCAACTCCTCGCAGTCAACGGTGAAAAGATTTTCGACATAAAAGCTACGACTTTCCTTCGACCAACGTACTTGTAGTGGTTTCTTAGCTGTGCCAGGGTTTAGTAGGTCTATAACCTGCAAATATGGTCTTTCGTTTACCTCGTCAGATCTTTTGTAAAAAAATGCTTAATAGTGCAGACCCATCAAGAAAAACAAATTACCTTTTCATTGTATATCTCTAAAAAGGAAGCCTTCAATACGAAGTGACAATCAGGTCGGTCTCGTATTAATTGGAAGAGGTATACAAAAGATCGTACGACTAGCCCGTGCTCTTGAGAGAATGGACTGGCTCCCCTCTCTACCTGCAGAAAATAGCAATGGTTAATTCGCACTAGTGACTTTGTACCGTATAATTATTTTAAACATTAAAAAATAATGCTAGATATAGCCTATATTACTCCTGGATAATGTAGCTTTCTGATGGTAGAAGAATTTTTGAATTAAGTCTGATAGTTGTTGAGTTTATTAGTTACATAAGCGACTTTTATTTCTTTTTTTATTAGTGTAGATGTAGAAAACAGTGGAAAACTTAGATTCTCTTTTTCTTGTATTTTAATGTGTTACTTTTTTTAAACTTTAATGACGTATTCTCGTTGATTATGTTAAAATAAAATTAACATAATTTGTTATTTTAATTAAATGTTCATACACATAGATACCTACTCCTAATAGATATTTATTCAAATTAACTACTACTTTTTATATTGAAGGTCATTATGATTTTTCAAATCAATATAAAACGACTCAAATACAAATCGTATACAAAAAGCATTGTTAATGTGCCAATAGGCTATCGGAGGTGAGGAAATCGATCGATGGAAGCGCCACGAAGCCGCATCTATTGTCCGAGCTTTGGCGTGTGTGAACTCTAAGGAAATTTAGAACTAGCTTTTGCTCGCGACTTCGCCCGCGTGTAATTAAAAGAAAAGTATAGCCTATGTAACTCACACATAAATTACCTTTCTAATGGGGAACTTTTAAAATAGGCTCAGTAGTTTTTGAGTTATTTCAATACATACAAAAATACAAATTTTTCCTCTTTATAATACTAGTGTAGGTATGTGTAGCTTTACTCTGTATGTCTGCCTATTAGTTAGGCGGAAAACAGACAAATGTCTTCCCCAAAATTAGTATCTATAAAGTTAGAGGTTTACTTTACGTACTAGGGAATTTCAGTATGTACAGCCCATTGTTACTTATTCCCCTGTAAAAACAAGACAACATTCCTGCAAGATAATTTGTTAGATGTGGCTGTAAATTAATTACTGCCCTAATGTAATACAGTTTTATGCTAGTACTGAGGGTAGCTCAACAATTTGCTAATAAGCTAACTAGCCTACAGATTTGCTTTCATACTTACTTATGTATTATACTTTACTATTTGTGTTCATTTTAGTTTCTGTTTATTGTGTAAAAAAATGTAAACTAGGTAAGTTTGTGGAATGATTTTTAAAAATAAATATTATTTCATTTTTCAAATGCATAAATAAATTATCTTTCTTTATTACTTTGTCTTTTTTAAAAACAAAGTTTAAGTAAGACTATTTACATATAAATAGACAAATAGTAGACCTATCATTACGTAGTCGTAAATAAATCGATTGAAAAACAAAGGTTAGATGTTTGATAAGTAAACGTTACAAAATGTAATTACAACTTTACCGTTCATAGGTGTTGAATGCTTAAAAACTGTAGGGTTCTAATTCATAACTCGAGATAGTTACTAAAGTAACTAAAGTCGATGTAAAGCAAGACTCAATTGATAAGTGTAATTCTGGGTAAGAACAACAAGAAGTTAGGAAAAGACAATCTCTCCGTAAGCGGAACACCGCAAATTGCCGCGACTGTACTTGACAATGTATCTGAGTGTATAATTGCAGTGATACTGGTATTGTCATCTCTCACATTATCTTTGAACAAGAAAAAGACAAATATATACCAATCGATATATCACAGTAGTCGAAACGTTACCAGTCCAGGGGGTCCAGTAAGTGTATGCGTTTTTCCACTTCCCGTCTGTCCGTAGCAAAAAGCCGTGCAGGAGAATCCTTCCACAGCCATTTCTAGTAACCTCTTCACGCCAGAATATTCCAGAACATCTTCCTGAAATGAATATTACATGTCAATTGGAGGAAGGTTTTCTAAAAAAACTTTCAAGTTCGTACGAGTATCTTACCTGAGAAGCTGCGGGTTCAAATACCACGTTATAGGAGAAGATTTTATGTTTCTGGCCGGGCGCGAAGCCGGGACAGATCACTTGTCCTTTTCCTGGGAACTCGAGCACTTCACGTTCGCCGCGATTACGCTCTTGGTCGTTTATTGGTCTCACCCTAAATAAAAACATGACATGAATCTCGAAGACTCGGAAGATGATAATCTGTACTATAAACACAAACTTCTTTGTTGCCTAAGATGTCAGCAATTACAGCATATTTTTGAATATTTTTTTTAATAAAAAGCCCTACACTTGCGTCACGCTTTAGGCTATATATTTTCACGCCAGTAAACTTAGGAGGTAAATATTTTGGATAAAAACCCAAATGTGGGAAAGAGGCCTTAAGTTGTTGCCAACATCAAGAAGCAAGATTGCCAAGGTTTTGTCATGTCATGTCATTTTGACATTTGCAATTAAGAATTTGACAAATGTAAACAATAAAATAAAATTTTCATAATTTCATGCGGATGAAACTGCACGAGAACAGCTAGTATACCAGGATATTTAGAATTGCAGCTGTATTCCAAATAAGATTAGATTAAAAAGAAATACAATGTCAATGACATTGTTTATGGAATAATCAATTTATGGTAATTGCATACAATTTATTATGCGGGTTTTTTTAATACCCATTTGACAACACAATGCCTCAATTCACTTTTATAAGTAAAAATAATATTGCCACAGTCTTGAAAATGTTGTTTACCTAACGACAACATTAATATTGTCTTCGTCGGAGTTGAGCGTGGTGGTGGAGCCGCGTGTGCTGCGGTCAACGCTGCCGGCCCGGCTGCTGCCGCTAAATAACAAACATTCATTTAGGCATTAAAGATAACTCTTTAGTCACCTAACAGTGATAAAGTCTGCTGACCAAAGTCAATGAATCTGCATATACGGATTTATATGGACGGTCGCTATTAGTGAATCCCAGTGGTCGTTTGCTCGTTTGTCCCTAAAAACAGGAGCAAACCTTTGACTAAAATCACAACGAGTGCGATTGTCGATTGTCGTTTGTTTCACAGCCAATTCAAATGTGTAGTTACAACTAAAAGTCAAGTAGTGTTCACACCATCAGATAAGCTTATAGGAATCAAAGCGAGAATAAACAGAAGTGCGATAGTTAGTTTAGTTTAAAGTGTGCGCGTGCTCATCTATACGTCTATACTCTATACTATTATAATAAAGCGTAAACACACACTTCTTTGTTGCCTAAGATGTCAGCAATTAAAGCATATTTTTGAATAATTAAGCCCTACACTTACGTCATGCTTTAGGCTACATATTTTAACGCCATTAAACATAAGGAGATAATATTTTGAATAAAAACCCTAATGTGGGAAAGAGACCATTAGTTGCTGCCAACATCAAGAAAACAAGATTGTTAAGGTTTGTCATGTCATGTCATTCTGACATTTGCTATTGATAATTTGACAAATGGAAACAATAAAATAAAATTTTCATAATTTTATGCGGCTGAAGTCGCAGGGGAACAGCTAGTATACTATAAAAAAATTCTGGTCTGAATGCTATTTGCTATTTGGAATGACACTACCGTAATTTTCATAATTGTAGTTCTTATTATAAGGATGTACTGCTAAAACAACTGTACAAGCGAAGAGGATATGTTTTGTATGTTTCGGTAGTGAAAATCCATGCTAATAAAGGCAGGTATATAACTACTCGGCGTTAGATGAAGAAGTAGATAAAATTATTTTTCGTGATTTGTAATCCAAGGTCGATAATCTACCTTCTTTAAATGCATTAATATCTTATTAATTGAAGAAGGCTTGTGAACTTGAACATCGGTAGTTAAATCGATAATGCACACGAACGCATTTTCGATGGGTCAGGACATTGTTTGTGAATATGTCACCCGTGGAGGAGGGGCTATCTAGTTGATGCGGCCCTCGCGTGTCACAGACAATCAATACTGCAGATGTATGATGTATATATGCTTTATGGTAATACCTTACGATTACTGACCGATACATTGATCGGTTGCTCCATACAAATGAGCAATTAGGTTTTGATACGAACTCGATCCTTGATCTCTGAATTTGAATTTTCAACTTCTTGTTCAACCATTGAACTTTTTATTTGAGATTAATCACAATTAAATCGATTGACCTTCAGGAACAGCTTTTTAAAAATATACTAAACGTAACAATTTTACGTAATAAATAAAAACTCAATTTCTAAGGGAAAAATGAATCGAAGCTTTCTTTGATTTCTGATTTCAAACACGTATTGTAGTCAATGAAAGGTCCTGTCGGCACCTTTTGGATCAAGGCCCTTCCAAGCGTATATCAATTTGTAGCGTAAACAGTAAACAAGAAAGGAATTTTACTCAAAGTCTATGCCTTTTAAATTACTTAAGGTTTAGTTTACTCTGCAAGAATTGTGTAAATAGGTTACATAATACTAGTAATAATAGAAAATGTTTTAAAGTAACTTTCAAGAGAAAATATAACCTAAAATTGATTACGCTAGTCCTTGACATTTCGCGCCAAATCGTTTTACAAACGCCACATGTTACGTGCTGTCAGCAAGACAAGGGAATCTAATATTTTATTCCACGGCATGTCTGTCTTCTACAAAGACTACCTAAAAAGAACTAAAACTACGAACTACTTGTATCTTTGTAAATATAACAATTAATTAAAAGGCATATTCCAACACTCTTGTTTTTTACAGCTAAATATTGAAACGCATATTTGCATTGTAAGCGCCAATTTGATAGACGTCAAAAGTAGGGAACTTAGGGGTAGCTACATATTTAAATACCGTTTCAGTACACGGCCGTTAATTAATTAAAACTGAAAATAGGACTTCCCAATAAAGAATCAGTTCACGGAAACACTTACGTTTTTAAGTGGCCAAGACACGAACATTCCTGGGGCTCCGAGTAGTGTTAGTCATTAGATACAATGTAACCTTGAACATTTTGACCTTACGGGAAAACCTAATTTATGAATCAGCATTTCTTGTTGATGGTTTTTAACCTATACTATTATAATAAAGCGTTAACACACACTTTGTTACCTAAAATGTCAGCAATTATAACATATTTTTGAATAATTCTTTTTTTATGAAAAGCCCTACTCTTATGTCATGCTTTAGGCTATATATTTTCACGCCATTAAACTTAGGGGGTAAATATTTTGGATAAAAACCAAATGTGGAAAAGAGACCATAAGTTGCTGCCAACATCAAGGAAGAAATATTGCTAAGGTTTGTCATGTCGTCATTTTGATATTTGCTATTGATAATCTAACAAATTTAAACGATAAAATAAAATTTTTATAATTTCGTGCGGATGAAGCCGCACGGGAACAGCTAGTGTGTGATGATTTTACAACGGTTCCCCTTAAAGTTACCACTTCAGTGGAATGTGTGTACCTTACTATACGTTGCGTGATCAATTTAAGGCTTCAATAAGAAAGGCTGTGTAATTCGAGCAGTGAATACACAATTAACGAAACGGTTTTGTTGTTGGCCTATTTTTTAAATAACTATACTTCTTGCTACTTTTAATCATGTATGTGCATTAGGTTTTTATTTGTTTTTTTTTTCGATTTAAATTGAAATCTTATTTTAAATTTAGAACAGTAGGCAATAATAAATGATGATATAGTTTTAAACGTGGAATATAAAAATCATTGCCATATCGCAAAAAACAGAAAAATATAAAACTTATTTCTATAGCAAAATTCGAAATTGTTGTATTAGAGTATAGTCGATTAAAGCAACCTGCCGGCAGGATTTTTAAAATTCTTGGTTGGACTATACCTTCCATTTCTAGACCTGCTCCTCAGGCTGACGTCATCGGGCCAGTTGTGCACCAGCGGCGGCAGACCCCCTGACCCTGGCTGCTCCGTGCTCCGAGCCTTTCGACTCTTGATCTCTTTGCCTAGTGGAAACATTATATTTTTGTAGGCAGGAATTTGCTTTAACTAATCATGTGTGAAGTCAACCAACCCGCACTTGGCCAGCGTGGTTGACTATGGCCTAGTCGCCCCTTATTAGGGTAGGCTCCGAACACCTCGGTGGGGACGTATAGTGAGCTGGTGATGTTGATGATGATGAATCATGGGTTTGAACATTGCTGCAGTATTTAAAAAAAAAAAACCCTTCAATCTGGTAATAATAAAGTAACGGCTTGTGCCGAGGCTTTGAGGGAGCCATCGAGCTTAGTTACTCATAAACGAGGTTTAGGCTAAGCGCCATCTGCGCTCGGCCACCTCAAGCCCGGTGAATCTGTCTGCCTCTTTAGGCAAACAGTGGCCATTCAGTCACAAAAAAATAAGATCGTATTTCTCCGGCAATGCATTTGCGGTTACTATAAGTTTGCGGGTGATCATGGACGTAGGATCAAATAATATTATTCTATCAACTGCTCGTTGGCTTTTTCTTTAAAACTCTTGCGTTTCACCTTTTCGATTAACTATTGACACAGAAATCGACATGTCAACTTAATTCGACGTAATTTGTGTAATTTCATATCATATCGATGTTTGTATAGAAGTAACCTAATTCCACTTTCGACCTTAGACTGATTGTTTACATTTATTCGTTGGGTATTTTTGTATTTATATTCATAACGAAATGTATATATGTAAACCTCTATTATGGGTAATTTACATCAATATAAATTAGATACTTTCTACATATGTCTTCAGTAGTGATATTACTTATATTTTAGGTTAGAAGAAAATTTAAAAACCAAATAATATATAACCGCAAAAAGTGTGATAAAAATAACTTTATTTTAATAGTTTCTATATCCTAATCCATGAAGTCATAACTTCAGAAATGTTTTTTTTTGTATCTCTTTAAATCTTACCACATCGTGTCGTAGCCACCAAAGTTTCAGCCGATTTAGAAATGTGCCTGGACAACGCAGATGGCGGCGCTCTGAGTGGCGTCACCAGCCGCTTGTATACCTTCTCACGGTTCAGAGGTTGGAACATTTGTAGATCTTTTAACGACATTATTTAATCTATGGAACATTTTTATCTTTTCCCGCTTTTATTTCACATTTTCATGGCGCTCTTGTTAAGTTTTAATCAATAGAAATGAGTCGTAAATGCGGGCTGTTTTTTTTTATACAAAATGTAAAATATTGTACTTTACAGATAATTGTATTTTTATTATTAAGATTTAATAATTATTATAATAAAGAAGGTTTTCTATATTCGGATTTTTTTAATTTACTTCTCTTTATGACACGAGAAAGCGCGGGAAATGAAACAAAATGGCAGCCAGTACGACTGACAATTACGAGCGCGGGAAGCGGACTAAATTGCTTTGGTCGTGACACCTGGGAAAGTAATTTAAGGTTTCACTACGACATAATTTGATATAACGCACTGATTTGTGTATGCATATTTAGTTTTTTAAGTAAATTAAAATCCTGCATTTGATCTATGATTTTGTTATATTATAATTTAGAGGTAAACTATAGACTAATTAAAGACTTTTTTGTTACGTCTATGGACGTAGTTTTTGGTAATAAGTCTGGTTTTAAGCCTTTTAGTAAAAGAGACTATATAGTATTCGATATGTAAAAGAAAAAAAGACAGATTACTGCTTCTTGTTACTTATTAATGCCATGGTTTTCACAAGTCTCAATAATTGTTGTAAAATCAATAAACCGATATTTCGTTGTAAAATATTCACTATTGAAAGACCGTTTTCTATACTTCTTTTGTTATAGCATAGGGAAGTTCCGCAGTTTTCGCAGAAAAACAGAATATAACTAGTTATATTTAGAATTGATATAAAATTGTGTTTATTTAATTTTATTGATAAAATTAAAACTAGGATTTAGAAATACATATTTTGAAAATGTTTACGATAAAAATATACGCTTCGGTGGTTTGTGTATGGAAAAAAGGTTACAAAGACTTTTGCAATTAAAAACATTGTTTTAGCTGTCGACGCCATGGAAATTAAAATTTTGCAGCCAGATTTCCTTAATTACTTATAGTTTTATAAGATTTTAGATTTGCATGCACTTAAACAAAAACATAGTGTTAAATTAATTAATTTTATAGAAGGGGCAATCAAAGTTAAAGGGTTTGAGGTTATTGACTCTTCGAGGGTTAAGTATTCAGGTGTATGTGTAGTGTATGACACCTTCGTTTTCTTGCCCTTACTGTCATAGTTTGAGTACTTATGTTTTTGTCTATACTAATATTATAAAGAGGAAAAATTTGTATTTTTGAATTATTAGCAAACTAGCTGACGCTTGCAATTCCGTCCGCACGTTTTAAAAAAACAAAACCTATGTATTCTTTCAGAGTTCATCAATCCAACTAGCGCGTTTTTAATTTTTTTTTTATCACATAAGGTGGCACAAGCAAGCGGCCACTAGAATCCGCCAAAATGACGAAGCGACCGCTGCCCATAGACATCCGCAATAGCAGATGCGTTTGCCTACCCTTATCCGACAGACGAGGAGGCGCACATATAAGGATATTTCCCCTTCCTATGTATCTCCTTCTACGTCAAATCCACATCTTTCATTATCTCCTTATAAGAAAAGGGTGGTAAAGAGAAAGGGACTTGAATTAGGCCTCCGGCTTTACTCTCATCAGACGAAACACGGAATTGCTTCCATTTTACGCCTGTCTTCTGCGTGGTCGTGGTATTACTGGGGGCGTGCCGGCCCTGCAGTGCTAAGATGTTAAAGCGGGCACTACCACTGTTAATATGATGTAGAATTAGATTTTCAAAAGATTAGATTTTAGTACTTACTTGGGAACCCCCTTCTATAAGTTTTAATTGTCTAGGATTTAATAATAGTACTTCTGATATAAAACGTATTTAAATGTAAATAAAATTTTAATAATTTGCATATCACTTGTAAAGGTAAAAAAACGAGTTGTGTAAAATTGTAATTCAAGTTTTGTGATAGTATTTAACTGTTAGTCTTCAAGCTGTTCACACATAATGTGACTTTAATTTTCGTAAAATTTTTATTACTATATTAAAATAAATATAAAAATTTTCAGTTCGTATAAGACGAGTAAATTTTTAATATTTACTGAATTTAATATAACTATAATAACATTAATAATGGAACTAAATGAACGCTTACACAATGCTGATGGGCAGGAGAAGAAATGGTTACCAACGAAAATATTCTGGAGACAGGTTAGTTTTGTTCAAAATTATAGTCAGGCTTGTTATCAAATTTAAAAACCTGAGATAAGCCAAGGTTCAAACATATTAAAAGAATAAACAATATTTAATTCAAACAATAAAGAATAATGAAAATAAAGTAAAATCTAGCATCTAACAAGAGTATTTATAGACGAAAAAGCGAGAGATATTAGATGGATGAATAGGTTGATGTTTGTTAGAGTTTGTAGCCTAAACGACTGAACAGATTTTGATACATTTCGGTACAGATGTAGAGGATAGTCTGGAAGAACACAAAGGTTACTCACTTTTGTTTTTGAATTGTACAGAGTGTAACATTGTAAAGAAATAAAACAAATGTAAAAGTAGATGTACGTGGAGTAATAAATGGAATGCAGCCACCACGAGTTTGAACCTACACCGAGTAAATTAGATGATTTTTTTTTAATAATTGTGACCCTCCTTTGTATAGTTGTTCATCAGCGTGGGCGTTTGGAACATGTTGTTCATGGCCGGCTTGTGTATGGGTACGCCGACTGTTCTCATCCCGCAGCTGCGACGAGAAGCCAACTCTACTGACGCCGTGGATGATGAGACCGCATCTTGGTTATGTAAGTTTTTAATACAAAAGTATTGTAAATAGTGTGCTAGTTTTTTAAGAACAATCTCCAAGAGAATTGCTAAATCAAGCTAATCCAAGCTTCGGTAGATGAAGATAGTGACCATGTTGAAATGTAGATAGAATAATGCAATAATATCTAAAGCCTGCTACAGACGCTTCATTTTATCTAAACGATCCGAATGTTCAGATAAAACTGACCATGTGTAGTGGGCTTTAGAAAAACAGAAAATTGTTTAGATTACAATGATCAAAACAAAGAAAGCCGATTTAAAAGAACTACTAGAAGCGAAATAACTTTACTAAACAGATGTTTTTATTTTCAGATTCTGTTTTCGGCGCATGCACTCTACCCTGGGTGGTCATAACCCTGTTATTTACGCAGTATTTCGGACGTCGATGGCCTATCATTATCGGCGTATCCACTATATTCCTCGTCTTTTTATTCATGTCGTTAAGTTCAACAGCTAAACAGATCCTTGTTGCAGAGATAATGGAAGGCTGTTTTCTATCTTGCTGCCTAACCGTCTGCGTCATCATCTTGTCCGAGTATACTATACCAAAGTATCGAGGTATTTTTCTCTGTTTTAAATCTAGTAGTTTCTTCTGGGGGCTTTGGATCGCGAATATTATAGGGACATTCTTCCATTGGAGGAACATTCCAATTTTGGGTATGATTGTCTGTTTTTACTCATTAACTGCGTTCTTCTGGCCTGAATCTCCACACTGGTTGGCCAGTAAGGGACGTTTTGAAGAGTGTAAAGCATCCTACCGATGGCTGCACGGCTGTGACGAGGAAACCGAACGTGATTTAGCGACATTGGTGAAAAGACAGACGGATTACTTGAAGTTTCGTGCTGAAAAACAGAAATCGTTTTATTACTCACAGTATACATCGAAGGAGTTTTACAAACCTCTTTTCTTGATAGTACTGGCTGTTACTCAGTATCATTTCTCAGGGAAGTTAGTTTGTAGTATCTACGTGTTGGAAATAACGAAAAAAATAACAAATAGTGAGAGCACAGCGTATCTTATTATGCTGATATTGGACGGTGTAACGATTTTAGGTATTTTTATAGGATGTTTATTATCAAGGATATTGAACAGACGTACGATGTATCTTAGTTTTTCAGCGATAGGTGTAGTCTTTCTCTTTCTAACTTCGCTTTATTTATATTTAGTAAAATTGTCCGTTGTTGTTGAGAATAATATATTCTCTATAGTTTTATTAACTTGTTTTTCGATTGCCATCAGTTGCGGTCCCATGATAATGACCACATCTGTATACGGGGAAGTTATACCTTTAAAACATAAAACGTCTATGTTCCTTATAGCGATATTACTATTCGAAACTTATAATGCTTTGTTATTAAAGAATGCGCCTAAGCTCTTCAAGAATCTGGGATTTCACGGTACGTTTTTAATGTATGGAATTGTGACGGGTATATGTACGTATCTTTTATATTTATATCTGCCAGAAACTAAAGATAAAACGCTGGAGCAAATTGAACAGCAGTTCGAAGAAGAATCGAGAGCGCCAACGCCACCTGTCGAAGAAACTGAACTGTTCATTACAAAGCAATCTCAATAAGTTTGCAAAACAATTAATATTTCACTATGTACCTATTACAAATAGCAGTAGTTTGTTAAAAACTAAATAAATTCTAATACAATAATTAAATAAAACTATAAGCAATTTTTAACTGTTACAACTTTGCTATTTTATTTTACTAAAAACGTTACACTGAATAATTCATTCTAGTAAAACCTATTCATGATTTCTTATCACATTTGACTACAAATAGATAAAATATTTTTTGTTGACAAATTTAATTTTTAGCATCTAGGCATTTGTTATTAACTAATTTGAAAAGCAATCAAGGTTACTTTATTTTATTTATTAGATAAAAGATTGATTGAAGTAGTATGCATGTAGAATTAATGTAAATGGACACTGTAAATTTAATTTATTTAACTATTCCAATGCATCCCTTTAAGCACAGGTGTTGTAATATCTAAAGCATTGCTGGGAAGTTCTGGCATCTGTCATCCGTTCACAACCACACATTATAGCGGAATTACGCGTACTTTGATACACTAATGGCGCGGTCTGTCAAAGGATGTATTTTGAGGTTACAAAATAGTTTCCTCAACGATCGGAAAAATATAAACGAATAATTATTAATTCCCTAAAAGTATTTCAATATTTATTACAGATAAATAAATAAAATTATTTGTAATTTATCTGTTTGCATTTAGTTTATTTCCCAGGCATCACAAAGCTTAATTAATATAATCAGAAAAAATATATTGGCGGGACGTAAACAATACAGCGTGTGCAGTGCAGGGGAATTTAATGATTTTTCTCTTTAGAATACAAGTGAGGTGCGACTTGACAATGTAGGGTAGATAAAATTGTCGCCTATGGTCCGGTGGTTATAAAGCACATAATGAAGTACCGGTTCCGCTTCGGTGATCGGACATGTTTTAGTTCAATTTGGGTCGAATTAACCTTTACATAGGACTACACCTGTGACTCGGAGGTATTTAAAATTGTAATTAAAAAAAAAACTGTAAGCTTAACTAACTTAAAGTCGCTATTTTTTTGAAAATATAATGGAAAACAATTACTTCGAATCACAACTTACATGGAATCGTCTCGATTTATTACGATTTCCTTTATTATGAAGAATCGATTTCATGTTGCCAAATATTTTGCTCTGAAATTATTGTGTAACTTAACTACCATAAACTCATGGTTATATTAAAACAAAAGCTACGCATAATGCGTGTAACCTTCAATACATAGGGCCTCGTACCAGCCAGACGGACGGACAAACAAAAAAGCAAGTATCGTAATTATTATAAACCATGCGAGTGAATCGAGATCGACCAGTTGACCGAATGCCTCCATGCAGTGTACATTGGAAATAAATTAAAAAAAAATCATTCTATTTTTAAATTTAGAATAGCGTACGTGAATTAACTGTACTGGGATATGTGGGAATTATTTTTTTTATTATAAACAAGTTTAACGGCCAGTGCTATTTGCGGAGGATGAACTTTGGAAATCGTTAAGACGGGACTCAATGAAGATGGAACAAATTATTATTTTGGTAAGTCAATTAAAATCAATATAGCGATTAGTTAAAATAATTAGCAGAATAATTAAAGCCCTTTTTAAATAATTCTTCTGAGCTAGTAAACATGATTTGTTTTTAATATTAGACTTTTTAAATAATCAATAATAGCTATTACAAGCGTATAAACTTTTATTAAAATATAACATCGTGACAATATTTGGCAGAGACTTATCCCAGCAGTGGGCGTCACGTGGTTTAGAAGTGGAAATGTAAAAATCTTAAAATAGACAAAAAATAATGCAAAGTAGACGTTTTCAATTGGATAATTGACTGACTTGGATGAAATATTAAATTATTTTTGTATTCTATACACCTAAATACTATGTTAAACATTTCACTCTAAAGGCTATATCATTGAATAAACGGTAGTTCTAAATCTGAAATCCAGGGCCGGCGTCAGGGTAGGGTGCCGTTGGACGCCCAGGGCGTAAGACAGAAAAGGGCGTTGCAGGTCTGCGAATTACAAAGTATCACATATGTCCATGTCCATTAAATCGTCGTTCACATTAGGGGAAGACTTGTCATTAATTAATAGACGATATAATTCGTAGGTGTTTGCCCTCCCGTGGGGCCATGGGTGGTGGTGGTGGATAGAGAACCCTGTTTTCTCCCCCACCGCATAGGTGATACGCAAAATTACGCCCAGGGTGATAGAGTTGTTCTTAGTACTACTGAAAAATTAAAAATAACCACATTATGGTCATAATAGCTTTATAATTTTCTAGCTGTTTCCATGCCACTTCATTCGCATGAAATTATGAAAATTTTATTTTATTGTTTACATTTATCAAATTACCAATTACAAATGTCAAAATGACATGACATGATGACAACCTTGCTTCCTTAATGTTGGCAGCAACTTATGGTCTCTTTCCCACATTAGCGTTTTTATCCAAAAAAAAATTACCCCTAAGTTTAATGGCCTGAAAATATATAGCCTAAAGCGTGACGCACGTGTACTTTTTACTAAAAAAAGTCTTATTAAAAATATGCTGTAATTGCTGACATCTTAGGCAACAAAGAAGTATTTGTTTACGCTTTATTATAATAGTATAGATTAAAAAAGGTTACATCGCGTACAGCACAAAAGGTTATGGGACAGTTGTGTAACATTCAAGGTTGTAATCCGTGTAGTCAAATTATATGTTTAATTGTACCGCTCTTTTGTTACAATTTGAATAAAACTCGTTGCACAATACAGTAGAATATTTACATACATATTCGGCACTCTAACTTAATGTTTAAAGCTTGTACAATCAAATGATAAATATGTAATGCTTTTTTTATAAATAGGTTTTATTACTTAACTATAAAAAATCTGATAACCTTTCAACCTACAAAGTCGCTAAAACTGGCGCTTAATCGTGTGTACAACGTTGAATAAAATTAAAAAGAAATTAAAACTGTATATGTAATATAACGTAAGGATAATTATAACCAACCATTTCGTTTAAGCTGGCGATTCACTGTGCGTAAAATATACACGTAAAAATACAAAACAAAAATTTCCAGAATCAAATGTAAGACAAAAAAAATAATAAAAAAAGTGACATTGAATCCAAGTTCATATATAAAACGAGTGCAATTATTATCATCTAAGTACTACATACAACGTCCGCCGAAAACAATAGAATGATGTCACCTGTAAAACAAAAGTAGGCCGAAATCAGGAGCCGGACCTTGCTACATTTGTTCTCGCATGTGGCTATTTGGCTGGCTGGCTGGCATTCAAAAAGCTAAAACACTGATAAGAAATAGTTCCACATGAAATTGTATGAAGCCACTAACACTATAATATTTTTCTTAACAACATAAGTAACGTAAGATACATCTTATAGCTAAGTTAAGTTTGTATTTATAAAAATTGTTTTCTTTTGTGTACAAAATTTTAAATAAAAATAATAAAAATATTATGAGTTATGGGAATTTAGTCTGAAAATAAACCGAGGTAGCGCGGGACAACTAAATATGAAGGCATATACGAAACTAGGTAGCTCAAATCTTCAATTTTTTTCTAATATCACATATAAACAAACTTCATCACATCACAGAAACCCGGAACTCATAACGTTTCAGACAAAAAACTAACAGGAAGTAACGCTAAGTCATATAATTATGCAACAAAAACTCCAAGTGCTATTGACCGATCTTCGTACAGCGATAACAGCATAATTGTTAAGCGTTTTAACTGTAATTGTAAATGACTTACAACAATTTACATTGTTCATTCGTTAAGCTATTTAAATAAACATATATCGGAACTAATGTCAGGGAGTAATTGAATCTTACCGTCCAAACTAATAAAAAAGTACGAGGTAAGCAGTAAGTAAACAGATGTCACGTAGGAATAGAAAAACTTAGCGTTTCGTCTGATGTATGTGCATGCCGGAGGCCATAGCCCTCTTCCTCTTTCCATCCATTTCGTACAAGAATAGGATAGGAAGGGGATGTGGATTTGGTGGGATGGGACGCAAGGATAGGCAAAATTTCCTCTGTCTGTGCGTCTTTCTGGAGTTGTTTAAGAACATCTGCAAATGCGGATGTCTATTAACAGCGTAATTTGGCGAACTCCAGTGACGGCTTGTTTATTTATCACCTTACACTATAAAAATGTTAAAGCCGGTCAATACTGAATTGAAATCATTTTAATTTCAGATACTTTCATCTATTCTGTTGACGACACATTTTGAAGGAACAAATGCAGATACCGTCTTATCTGCAGTCTTAACTCCAACTGAAAGCGCTACCCTTCAGCGTCAAGAGAGAAGTTACTACGAAAGATACGGCGATAGACGTCCTTTATACGAACGGCTGGATTACGATAGATGTGGAAGATGTGATGACCGTTCTGACGACAGATATGATGATAGAGATGATTACGATAGGGGACGTGATAGGTATGACGATGACAGAAGATCAAACAGACCGACATCTGGCAGCAGGCATGATAAAAATAAAGATTACGACGACGATGATAGACGATACAGTAATGATAGGAAGAACGGACAAAAGAACGGTACAGAAGATGACAATGATAACGACAAGAAAAGACCATATGATGACAAAGACAGACCCAGTAGTGGAAGGAAAGGTAATAGAGATAGACATAGACATGATGACAGAGATAGGTATAGACCTGATTATTATGATAGATTTTTAAGAGATCCGTATAGACATGAGAGACCATACTATGATGATCCTTATAGAGAACGGAGGCCATATGACAGATATCCTTATTCAGATAGATATGATGAAGGATACGGTGGCAGATATGATGGGTATGCTTATACTGGATACAGAAGACCTTATTACGATGATCGGTATGATAGAGGAAGCACATATGACGCCTATGGAGGCTATGGTCCTGGTGTAGGACGAGGACCACATGATAGGTAAGAGTAATTTTGTTAAAATATAATAAATAATTACACCGTTCAACAAATTGTCCATACAAAATAATGTTCAATGACCTCACAGTTCATTTACTGTAATAAATTCACCGTTACTATTGAATCATGTCACTGAACAAAGCTAATAATGATACAAAGTTCGAATAATACAGAATATCTACGCTTTCGCCTAATTTTCCATTGTCATATACTCAACGACCATGTAATGGCGGACCGTAGCAAACATAACCTAACATTTGCACCGTTGTTTGCTCATTTTCCATCCATTTAATACACGTAGATCTATTGACGTAAGATTTTATCTATTTTGCATTTTTGTTCGTTCGTTTTTCAATTAGTTTTGCCCTTTAAAGGATCTTCTAATCTAATTAAACCGAATTTTGAACATGTCGAGAAATACACAGGGCATTAAATATTTGTCTGATTCACTGCAATAATTTCTTTTCTGATAACTTGACGATAATGTAATCATTTTTATTATAATTTATCTTACTTAATTTTATCAAGCTAACTACGATTGAGTGAACCGGAAAAAGCCGATTAAAAAACTAAACATGAAATAGATGTTGCTTTAAAAAGGGTTACAAAGGAGTTGCAGATCTAAGGGGATTAGCAACGACCGAGCATTTTCATAACACTTCAAGAACTGCAGAATTCAACCCCTTCAAAACTTCAAATTAAAAGTATAAACATGTTAACTTGGGGCCAGTTTTAGGCCGTGGGACGAGACATACCGCGGCCAATCGGGCTGGGACTCCGGCGGCCGAGGGTACTACTTCGCATCAGGACGTCCTGACACCGCCCAGGCTCAGTACTGGGGACGACCTGAATACTCCAGGTCTGGAAATAAACGTTTTTTATGAATATAAAAACCATCGCGTTAAACAATTAGAAAACAAATTATAAGATATACATTCCCATACGTGACGATAAAAATATCTAGCAAGTACTACATAAGAGTAAATAAACCGATTTCAGACCACAATCCAGTTCCGGCAGTTGGCAGAGTGTTGGATATTCCAGCGGCTACAGAGACCCCGCCCTGGACTATCGCGGCTCCTTCGGCTATGGTCAGACAGGAGGGTACCGACAAGACGTCAGCTCTTACGGGCAGTCCAGTGGTTGGCATAGCGTTGGAGAACGACGACCTTATAGAGATCAAAGGTTGGAAACGAATTAATCTTAATCATCATCCGTCTAGTGACCTTTGAAACGAAAGAAAACATAAAATTTTTACTTTCAGCGGCGTCAGTCAATTAGACAACAGCAATCCTGATAGCAGATACAGTCAACCAGTCTACGGACAACAAAATGGTTTCCAGCCCAACTATGGTGTGAGCAGCACAACACTAGCCACAAGCTACTTACATGAAAGAGAAGACGATAATATAGTGACAGCTAAATCAGATGACAATACAACTAAGCCGCCATCGTAGATTTTTAAGAGTTTGAATATGTAATGAATAAAATCCACTCAATTATTGTATAACACCTCTTATATTTTGCTTAAGGTATAAATTTAATTTTAGTTTTAATCAGATCCGTGTTAAGAGTGCAAGGCGTGCTGGACGCCTAGCGCCAGATTATGGGCAACAAGTCCTGCAAAGCGCCAGCCAATCACAGTCGACCGCCCAATATCGTTAAGACGGCATCCGTTGTAATTATAGTTAAAGTAATAAATAAACCTTGAAATTAATAATTGATATAATTGCATTTTATTTTGTACAAGAAAAAACCTTTTACATTACCTCCTTGTTTTACTCCGATAGCGTAAAATTGAGTTGTGGAAGACACTGCTCAACTTTCAACCTTTGAAATCACTCTTGGTAAATTTATTAAGAAAAACAATGAATTAAACATAAAATCTAGTAGTACAGTAGAACCTTACTTTATAATTTCAAACAAAATAAATAGTAGACAGAACCATCTATCTGTCATATCTTGAACTACAAAATCATTTAGTTCAAAATCTAAACAATAGATGGCGGTTATAACTTTAATGATGAAAAGACATGCTGAGTCATCATTTTTAATTATACCTAAATAACTTGAAAGACAATTATTAAAACTTTCATTGTTAAAACATGAAATTGAAACATAACAATTAGATACATCCAAAAATCCACTCCTGTAACCGTAAAGATCAAGCCACCTGAGTTTATTCCCTGAGAATTACAAAAATATGTTGCCTTTCTCGTTCCCAATAATGAAATGATAACAATATACAGTTTAACATGCGAGAGTACAAGGGACCTCGAAATTTTTTGCATTTATGGTTTTAGAAGTTACAATGATCAGAAAATACGTGTTTAGATTCTACTTCATTATGAACGATTAAAAGGTATGTTAAAAAGACGGCTAGATCTAAAGTTTTAATACAGTATGGAACTAAATTAAAGTGTACCGCAGCCTAATCAAATATTATGTCGGCCAATTATATCTAAGACAAGAGCTCGAACGTAATCGAACAATTAACGATGTGATAAAATGATTACATGATTATTTTCTGATAGCCAACATTCATGTCCACTTGCTATCAAGTCTTTGTATGTTTTACAGCTTTTTAATTATTAAAATACTGTCCAGTTATTTGATAGTGTTGTGTGAGAATGACGGAACAAGATTCTGTCCAAGTGCGAGAAAATTCTTCGCAGAATGTCAGTGTTGTCAATAAGGAAGATGGGACGTCACTCCAAGTGCCGGCGAAGAAGTAAGTTTTTTTAAATTATTTCGTTGGAACATAGATACTAATTATTTTAAACAAAATACGGTATATGAGTAGAATTCAAGAGTTTAGAAATTAAATTTCATTTGCACTTTAGCAGTTTTTATTTCAAGTATTTTCTTTTACTCACTTGTCTAAATGTATTCTTTGGATGAGATACCCATAGTAAATGCGTCTTATGTTTACCCACGATTTTTTATTGATTGTAAGAACATCTCTAAGTCTAAATATTAATTTATTCTTTACGTATTTACATTAAAATCACAGGCATCAATGTTCAAACTGCGCAATACTGCGGTTTATTTTTTTAGTTTTAAGTTATTTAATGATTTGTCTATAAGGGTCTCCAGAGATCGAGGGCATCTTAGATAGATATGTTTCTTTTGCAATTTTGACGCTATAGGGGGACAGCTGGCCGCACCGCCCGGTGGCAACGCCCATAATTTACATTGAATTAGTATAATTAAAAACGACAGCATGTTCACCTAAGTCTAGATGGGTTCTTGGTCAAGCGCTAGTCTATACTTCTATACTATTATAATAAAGCGTAAACACACACTTCTTTGTAGCCTAAGATATTAGCAATTACAGCATATTTTTGAATAATTCTTTTTTTAACAAAAAGCCCTACACTTGTGTCATGCTTTAGGCTATATATTTTCACGCCATTAAACTTAGGGCGTAAATATTTTGGATAAAAACCCTAATGTGGGAAAGATGTCATAAGTTGATGCCAACATCAAGAAAGAAAGATTCATTTTGACATTTGCTATTGATAATTTGACAAATGTAAACAATAAAATAAAATTTTCATAATTTCATGCGGATGGATCCGCACGGGAACAGCTAGTTTATTTATAATTTTAAAAAGTAGGTTATTGAATATTGATTAATACTTAGCCGAATTACAGAGACATATTTTTATCATGCAGTCATAAACTGTGGAATGATATCACCTATCGTTTACGTAAACTACAACTTTATCGAGTATTTACTTTGAAGTGCTGTTATGATATCAAAGATAAGCAAATTGTAACGAATTCCAGATGATATCAAATAATTTATATTGAAAATCTGACTTAATAATGAGCAAACTTTAGTTAGCGCTGTAAAAAGAACTTAAAGTGAATCTGAAACACGACAAAATTACAAGACCTAAGTCGTTCCGACAGGTTGCCGCGTCTCTGTATAATATACAGAAAATGTCAGAGAAATCTAAGGGTGTACTAAGTAACCATTTAACATATCTACTTGCAGTAATGCGAGATTGGTTTTGACTCTAATTATTTCAAGGTAAAAGATCGATGATGTTTATTATCACACTAGCTGTTGCTAGCGATTTCATTCGCGGGAAATTAAAAAGATAATAAAAAGCATACCCTATCTTACTCACAGATAAATGATCTGTCTAACGGTGTAAGAATTTTTAAAATCGGCTCAGTAGTTTTTGAGTTATTTCAATACATGCAAAAATACGAATCTTTCCGCTTTTCAATATTAGCATAGATAGCTGTTGCTCGCGATTTCGTCTGCAAGAAATTAAAATGATGAAAAAGTATAGCCTATGTTGCTCACTGATAACATAATTTTTTAGTAGTGAAAGAATTATTGAAATCGGCCCAGTCGTTTTTGAGTTATTTTAATATATACGAAAATACAAATCTTTCCTCTTTATAATATTAGTATAGATATATAAAATTGGGTATAATCGCATAATTCAGTCATTACTAAAGTTGAATCATATTATTATATAGATTAAAATGAGTTAATGTAATTTCTTTACAAGTATATTATCGAATTGTCTTTATCAACATATTTTGCTGATATCTTTACTTTGTGAGGAATAATAAAAAAATATGATAATAAATTAATCGAATATGATTAAATGTATACAAAAACTTCGCGTTTCTGTTCGCGTTTGCATTAAGGAAACACTCCTATGAATAGATTCTTATCTTTTTTTAAAGAATGAATGAGAAATAAATGTCGTTTCAAGAGTAGGAACTGCACTAAGATAAACTCTGTATCCAGTTTATATTGGACATGTCTGATTTGTTACTAGAAAGTAGCCGTGCGTAAATTTATAGAGCCAAATAAATTTCAATTCAAACAAATTTTAAATATTGTCTTAATTCGTAGCTGGTTGCTAGGACCTAAGTCTTAGATTAGTTGGCATGAAATGTCGTAATATGAGCCGATTACACGTAAAAAAAGGGTTTGTAATTATATTCCGATGGCACGTAATAAAACCATTTCGTAATTAAATATTACGTGTCGACATAGAGCACCACTCCTTCAAATGGTTGTAAAATAATAAAGTTTTAGTACAACGTTCCGTGTCCTGGCTTGCCCTTTTTTTATACTACCATGGTAAGCCTTTTAATCATTTACCTGTGGTACAGGTACGACCAGTAACACATCGGTAGTTATCAGAGTTTTAAAAAAATTAGCAGTCAGTAGTTTTTGTTACGAAGTAAAGGGCTCCCACCACTGGGTGATAGCTTAAAAATGACGTCACTGTCAGTTAAGGGAACAAAATCCGATATTACCATCACATATTTTACACCTTCGATTGTTATCAGACAATTAACAATTTGGTGGGACAGGCTCTAAATCAAGTATTAATAAGCTTGTTTGTAAACAACATGGTTGTGCCTGTCTCGTACTCAATCAATTTATTTTAATTGAACATCGTTTGAGAGAATTGATTCGCATGACCGCTAATTATTTACGCACATACATATCTTTCAAATATATCCTGTTTATCTTTTTTTATGACTCTGATTATTATACGATTGTACCTTTTCTGACTATACTAATATTATAAAGAGGAAGGATTTGGATTTTTGTATGTATTGAAATAACTCAAAAACTAATGGGCCGATTTCAAAAATTCTTTTACCAATATTAAGCTGCGTTATCAGTGAGTAACATAGGTTTTGTTTTTTTATTATTTTTTTCTTTTTAAGCGGACGAAGTCGCGTGGAACTCAGATAAAAGGTGAAAGTAATGTTTTATTTTAGCATTTGACTTTTATTCCAATTTCCAATCGGATGGGAGCATCAATAACTTATTTCAGTCTCTAATCATGCCGTTAATTACATATTTTTGGTATAAAACAATATTTAATACTGCTAAAATTAATTAGGGCTTAGAAAACGAAAAACAAGGTGAATCGTCAATGGCCCAGATCCAATAATCGGATTGTCTTTACAACAGCTAAGCTGGAAGCCATTGCTAGTTCGCCGTTAACTAATTGTTATAAAGTTAAGATGTTTTTGAATTTTTGACCTAATTCCAAAGCACTTGTGACCCTTTTAGATTGTCAAAGATGGACAGAGATAAAAGTTATCTATCTACTATCTAAATATTAGTTACAAACACTTATTTGGTAATCCAAGAAGTTTTCTTAATTTAAAAATGTTTACTAGATTTCAGAAATATGGTACAACTAGCTGATGCCCGCGACTTCTTCCGCGTGGTATTAGAAAACATACGAACTATTTAGATAACAAAATGCTACGTATCCCTCGGGAACCGGACATTTCTCGGGGATGAACCTCATCCCATGTGTACACCAAACTTTGTTTTATATCCGTGCCAAATGTCAATAAGATATGTTGAACCGTTGCAGAATGATCGAGTAAACATTAAAAAACTAAATTAATGAATTCCACGGGAAACGTAACTATTCCCTGGATAAAAAGTAGCCTATGTGTTCTTCAAGTCTATGCTCTATACCTGTGCCTAATTTTATGGAGATCCGTTCAGCAGTTTAGGCTACAAACGCTAAGAAACATCCATCCATCTAAACTTTCGCATTTATAATATAAGTAAGAAGTAAGAAGTAAGAAGTAAGCTTAGAAAGATTGAATTTGATAGTTTTAAAAAGATGAACTAAATATGTTAAATATTTTACAAATCCGTTATGGGTCTAAGAACACGTGACCTCTAAAAAGTGAAAGGTCACGATGCTAGAAATTGCATTATATCTAAAACAATGCGCTTCTTTATGCCTCGCAATATGTAGACGGAAAACACTGAACTCTAAAGGTGTGAATACACCAAAGCGATATGAACGTAATAGTAACACATAATCAATTCGGCTTAAAACATAAAAAATAACTGTTAAAGTAAAAACAATTAGGTATTGAAAAGATTGAGAAAGAAATTTTGAAAATCTAGTGGATTTTTTAACCAAGAATTTAAAAAACATACACTTGCATCTTATCACTATTGCTATTTCGTTTGTTTTTAATGAGTATAAGAGGGATGGTTGTCGTAATACAGGTGCTATAGTAGTGGAAATTAACCGTATCCTACGCCAGGTGTGTTAAACTCTGGTGAGTTGTTGCCCTAAGCGATGACACAATGCGAGCTCTCACTTGACCGGTCCCGCGCACGTCGGAGACGCCAGCGCCAGTTTGCCGCCAACTGTAGCCCAAACTTCATGTCACTGCCGCGAACCTGAACGCACCCATAACGAAACTCTTTTCACACAAACTTTTTGAATTAAGTGACAGTTGTTTTTTTAATTACGTCTAATATAAAGGTGCATTGAATGTAAGTCCAGAAAAAAATTAAGAAGTGATAAATTAATACTGTTTTTTGTAAAATATTTTTGGGTCAAAGTTGGTGCCGTTTTTTTTTTTTTTTTGATGCCGTGATGCATCGAGTGCTGTGTGCATTGTTGGATGTTTTAATCGAGTTTTGGTGATCGAGGTGAGTCGACTGGGTTTTTATTCGCGAATTTCGTCCGAAGTCGTACGCGGTCGTTGACTTTAGGCTTTTTAAAACTCGTTTAAGATCCTTTCTCATATGCTTCATACATTTAGACTAATGCCAATTCGAATTTACGACCACATCGTTTTTAAATTGAATTTATGAGACAAAAGAGGTTAATAAATTTTGATACACTTAAAAAAGGTTACGTATTTAAAACTAACATTAACTTTGTCATTAACTTGCAGCCTTTTATTCAAATTTAAGTAGTAATATTAACAATAACATAATGTATTAAAAAAGGCTTAAATCTAACCTAAGTTTGGAAAGCTCCAGCGTTAACATAAATCGTTTAGTTTCAGAGTACTGCTGATCCTAAATCCTCACTAATAGTATCATGAATGATTAAATTATCAGCTAAAATTTGTTTATGCCTGTAATGGTTGATATTTGAATACAAAATAAGCGTCTCTAAAGCATGGAAAGGGACCAAAATTCTTAGTTTCAAATCATACTGTGACATAAAAAATAATCTATACTAATATTATGAAGAGGAAAGATTTGTATTTTTGGATTTTTGTATGTATTGAAATAACTCAAAAACTACCGGGCCGATTATAAAAATTCTTTCACCGTTAGAAAGGTAATTTATCTGCGAGTAACATAGGCTATATATTTTAATTTCACGCGGGCGAAGTCGCGAGCAACAGCTAGTACAATATAAAAATGTATTTTTTAAAAATTACAACATTTTAGGCAATAAATGATCCAGGCACAATGTTAATTTTTAATCTTAACTTAGAAACCTATCAAAAGTAACTTAATTAATGTTATCAGACTTAAGCTAGACTTTATTTTAAGACGTCCAGTTTTCATGACGCGAATTCCAGTGAAATATTACATTCCATCCTGCATGCAGCTTCCAGACGCGTGCAAGCGAAATAACGGCATGCGTTAACTGAAACACATTAAACTAGGAGAATAGGGATACCAAAAGTTTTGCGCATTCCAGGACAATTTTGCATAAAAAAAAAAGAATCTAAGAAACAAATGAAATGTCCACCTTTGTGCCTCCCCTCCGTATCTAAGGCAACGCATCTGAAATTGCAAAAGTTTATGGGCAGCAGTCGTTTCGCTATTTCAGCGAATTCAGGTTCAACGAAAAGGAATATAGGCTCATAAAATATAACAGTACCTTTTAAATATAACTTGTTTAGGAAATGTCAAAGAAATCAATTTTATATGTTTTCGCAGTTCGTTATCGCGAAATGTTAAGGTTATACATTCACCGTGATTTCTAAAAGTTGCAGAGCTGCTGCATTTTTTTTTATATCCGCACTGTCGAACTTGCGGGTAAAACCTAATATAACTATATGTCTATCTTATGCCGGGTTTCTGAAGTATCTATTTATTTTATCATTATCTAGTGATTCATTAGTTAAGTTGTCCTAATTTTCGATAGGTTAAAACTCTGATTTCGTAGTTCAGACGCGTATTTCATGAAGTCATCGAACCAAAAACACTAACGAATGGTTAAATGTACTTGGGAAACCGGGCATTAATAATTTAACTACGCTGAATTCGAAGTAAGACATGTTTGTCTATAAGGAAGGAATAAATGAGTACTCGTAGCGTCACTGACGCCGTGAAGTATCGACGCTTGCCAATACAGGAGCCATGAAGCTGATGTCATCGACAATTAAAATATTTACTTAACTGTTGTGACGCATTCCTTAGTAAGTAACAGGACAATATTCAGCGAATTAAAATCTAAATGCTTTATTCAATGCATATTGTTGGAATACAAAATTAACTCGTCTTTCTTTAGTTATACATATTATACAAGCTTTCGTCCGCTACTCCGACCGCGTGAAATTTAAAAAAGAAACAAAAGTAAGTAGCTTATGTATTTCAGGCTGTGCTCATCTAAGGCAATCTCTAACAAACATCAATTCATTTAAACTTTCGCAATAATAATATTAGAAGTAAGATTAGTAAGAAAGTAATAAATACAATGAAACCACAAACTAAACAGAGTTCAACTGGTTAGTTAGAGAATTTTAGTATACATTTTTTTAAAAGGCCAATGCCATATTCAATCTGTAACAGTATTTATTGGTATGTTAGTACTACATTTAGGTTTTAAAACTTTATAGTGTAGTCAAAATTAATCTAAAATCAAGCGTTATGTCCTAAGATGAGTCATTATTTACGTGTTTTTTAATCACGCGTGCTCGTGTGCATTACAGTAAATTACATAGTTTTTATATATGTAATGTTACATTTAAAAAATAATTACAACAAACAGAAATGTTGCTTAAAACAAAACGTGTCTGTGGTCATACGTGCTTCCTATTGTTTTTTAAATATTTTTTATATATGTTTTTAGGTTAGACTGTTTGCAAGCTAATTTGAAGTGTAACTGCATTTGTTTAGAGTACATTTTCAAAAACCTTTCGCCGACAATTGTAATTTTCGATTTTTTATTGCAAATAATTGCAAAAAATTCTAATATTCCTAGATTTTATTGATTTTATTATGTTTATTTACTAGTTAGGTTATAAAAATGTATAGTTATATAATATTATGTTGTAATCATAATACTAAAGCTAATTTAGTAAAATTTAAGTCAGTAAATTTCATGCTCCAAATTCTCAGCGAAAACTCGTATCTAAAGATTTAGAGCATAAAATCTGCATTGCGTAATATATTTTATCAATGCACGGCATTAATTAATGTTTATGCGAATCTTTTATTAGAGTATTTTAAAAGTAGTGCGAATTTCTTTACATGCATTTAGCGCCTTAAACTTTGTTTCACACGAAAAACAAAATACTACGTATCTTACGGGAATCTGAAATTTCCGGGTATGATACGTATTCCACATGTTACTCCAGACTTTGTTTTATATCTGAGCAAATTCCAATAAGATATGTTGAGTCGTTGCATAATTATGGAGAAAGATGAAAAAACAAAATCATGTATCCCACGGGAACCGCCACCATTTCCGGGATCAAAAGTATCTTATATGTCCTTCTAGACTATCCTCTACATCTATGCCAAATGTTTATCTAAATTTGTTAAGCAATTAGGCTACATACTCTAACATTCATCTAAACTTTCGCATTTATTTTAATACTAGCTGTTCCTGTGCGACTTCATCCGCATGAAATTATGAAGATTTTACTTTATTTTATTTTATTGTGTGCATTTGTCAAATTATCAATTACAAATGTCAAAATGACATGACATGATGACAACCTTGCTTCCTTGATGTTGGCAGCAACTTATGGTCTCTTTCCCACATTAGGGTTTTTATCCAAAACATTCACCCCTAAGATTAATGGCGTGAAAATATATAGCCTAAAGCGTAACGTAAGTGTAGGGCTTTTTATTAAAAAAATAGTATTATTAAAAAATATGCTGTAATTGCTGACATCTTAGGCAATAAAGAAGTGTGTGTTTACGCTTTATTATAATAGTATAGATAGAAGATGGCCAGTATTCGAAAAATATTGAATTGACCTCTTAAAAGGTCATTGCATATCAATAATTAAATAATATTAGATGTTTAAACTGTGTATCAGTATGAATGGGGCCTTGTATACGTCTGAGTCACAGGTGCATGAGTGTAATCAGTACCGATACGGTGCTGCCCTATTTACTATCCTTCCTGATATTAAATTAAAAAATGTTGTCCTGGAAAAACATGAGTTAACGCATTATCAATTCAATGTTCAATGGTTCAATGGTCGAAAATATTAATTACAGCATTTTTACCTTCAACATCAGAAAAAATTCGAAAACTTATCTGACTCTGATAAGTGCTTCGGAAAATATGTAGTTATAAATACAACATTAGCGACGTGACCCGACTTTGCACCGGTCCAATGATAATACGAAAACGTATTTTACATCACATTATAACCTCCAAAATTATCAGTATTTCTCTACTATATTATGCATGTAAACCTTCCTCTTGAATCACTCTATCTATTAAAACTGCATCAGAATCCTTTGCGTAGTTTTAAAATAGGGACAGACAGACAGTGTGAAGCAACTTTTTGTACTATGTAATGATATAAATTAACTTTGGCAACACTGGACAAGAATCTTATGCATTTTATATGCATTTACCAAAATGCTGCGAAGCCAGTTTCGCACTATCTGATCCTCGTATGTCAAATGAGCTATGTCAAGTTATCACAATGCTTAATAATTCAAACAAAACTGTTATATCCGCAGATAATAAGCCAGTTGCGTCAGCTATAGCAGAACGGACGTTATATAATATTATGTAGGAGTTTGACAAGGTCGAAATGGGGAAAAAATGTTTAGATTTAAGTACCTTTTTATTTTGGAAAATCGGTCAAAAAATCATAAAACACATAAATATCAATTAATTATTATTATATATCTTAAAGACTTATTTTTTATTAAAAATCATTTACTTAAGGGTTAGATTAGTTGAAAGTTACTTAATTATGTTATAACTACCTGTTGCTTGCGACTTCGCCTACGTGAAATGATCAATAATATAGCCTAACTAACTGATAACATAGCTTTCTAATGGTGAAAGAAGTTTTGTAATCGGCCCAGCAGTTTTTTAGTTAATTTAATACCAACAAAAATAAAAAAAAAATATCAGTATAGATTAAGCAAATAAAGTTTTACAAGTAACTATCGTTAAAACCCGACATCCCCGCGGTGATGGGAAACATCGTAGTTCAACCAGCATATATCTGTTAAAAATTCAAAGATGTGTGAAGTCAACACGCATTGCAGCATGGTTCACTATGGCCTAATCATCTCTAACATAAGGTAGACCGAGCCCCTCATAAGGCAAATGTATAGCTCAATACAAAGTTTGTTCATAGTGTCTTATCTTGTAATATCCGTATAAATGATTGCATGTATAGAATAGGTTATGGGAAAGTATTCACATTTTTCTATTGCCATTTTCCCATCATTGTTTGGTGTGAACTTTTATAAACATTGTC